TGGTGTCAGCTCCATTTGTCGGAGTCCCCATTTCACAGATGTGCCTGTAGAGGCCCAGGCCACGGCAAGGCAAGCCTGGGCAGTGCATTCAGGGAAACTTCTATAGCAACACCAAGGCATAATCAAACAGGGAGGCTGACACCCAAACAGATGGGTAGATCTGATTTCAAAGGCCAAATCTGTGAGCTTGAGCAAGGGGTGTGGGCTCCAGGCTCCACATGCCTTGAGGCCCCCTGCCACTTTCCTCTCCAGTAAAATAAACAGATCCCCTCCTTCCTGGGGGGCTATTGGGAGCAAGGGGTCACTCAGGACTGGCTAAGGAGCTGGAGTGTCGTAATGTTTAGCCCGGTGGTCACCCACCCAGCCTGCACACCCAAGGAGCAGCAGGGTCCCTGAGTGAGAAGTTGCCAGCAAAGAGGAGGTATAGGGTGAGGGATCCGGGCTGGCCCAACTGGGCCCAGAGGAGTTAATAGCCCCAGGCCCCGGCCCAACAGGGCTGCCACGCTGCAGCCACAATTTCAGTAGAGGAGCCAGGATTGCTTCCTGATGGGCAAAACAGCTGGCTGCCTGGGGAAAACAGCTGGCCAGGGCCCAACCCCCTGAGGCCACAGGCAGAGCGTCCATCTGAGGAGCACAGCGCCACTGCAGATGGGGTCCTGGGCAAAGATGGCCCGGCCAGGAGGGAGAGGGTGGTCTTCAGGACTCTGTGCATGGATGCTCGCTGGACGCCTGGAGATGCAAGACCATGGGAGTGGGAGGGTCAGGGGACAGGTTTCTTGGTCCAAGCGGACTGGTCAGAGGTGCCTCCGGTTGTGGTTCAGGGTCTCACCATCCAGTAGGAAAATGAGGGGCAGGGAGGCCTATGGGAGCCTCCTGTCAGTCCCAAGGGAGGAGGCCATGGAGGCCTGGAGGGCACCCCAGCTGAGCTGCTGCCCTCCCCGCTACCCGCTGTACCTGAACCCGGAGCAGGGGTGTGGATCCAGCCTCTGGCCAGGACTGCGGGCTCCTCTGGCCATAGAGCTGGACTGGGGCTCAGAGAGAGCCCCCAACTCGGGAGCTGTGAGGCCAGCAGCTGGTAAGAGCTCCATTCCTGTACGCTCTTTGCTTCGCATCCCCGTGGCTCGCCTGCTTGGCTGTCAGGCTGTTAGGACCACCACCCTGGGGCTTCTGTCCGGAGCTAGGGCCACCTCGACGCCGCTCCTTGCCTTGGCCGGGAAACAGCCCCTGGGACCATGAATGAGGCTGGGCAAGGTGGGCAGGGGGCTCACGAAATCGGAGCTGCCCATCCAAGTTGCTCTCCCCAGGTCCCTCCTGGACCACTTCCCTAGCCTCCCTGGCATGGCAGAGCTCAGAGAGTATGTCAGCCCCAGTGCCCCCATCTCTAACTAACGAAGGCCGCGCTGCAAAGCCCTTGCCAGTGGGTGACCGGACTTGAAGCCAGGCTTCCTGCGGGGAGCAGGCGCTGGGGAGGGGGCCGGTGCTCGCAGGGTCGCTAACCCCGGCAGCCGGAGGGAAGCCTAGGTTGCTGTCGCCACCACCTGGCTCTGATCGGAACTGCACTAGCTGAATGGTGCCTTCCTCTGCTCTGGGCCCCAACCAACAAAATGGGCCCCCACAACCGTTTTTAAAAACATATCCATTGGACGGGAGGGGTGGAGACAGGCTAACCCTTCGCCTGTGGCGCCGGAATCCCATATGGGAGCTGATTAGAGGTTGGTGTCGCAGCTGCTGCATATCCAATCCACTTCCTTACTAATGGCCTGGGAAAGCAGTCAAGGATGGCTGGGCTCCTGCACCCAGTTGGGAGACCTTGGAAGATCTCTCGCTTCCTCTGTGAGTCTCACACTTTCAAGTAAAAAAAAAATAAATTAATTTTTATTGGAAAGGCAGATTTACAGAGACGGAGAGACAGATCTTCCATGTGTTGGTTCACTCCCCAAATAGCTCAACAGCCAGATCTGGGACAGGCTGAAGCCAGGAGCCAGGAACTTCTTCTAGGTGTCTCACATGGGTGCAGGGTCACAAGGACCTGGGCCATCCTCTGCTGCTTTCTCAGGCCACAGCAGGGAGCTGGATGGCAAGTGGAGTAACCAGTATTAGAAGTGGTACCTAGGGCTCAGCGCGATAGCATAGCAGTTGAAGTACTCGCCTTGAATGCGCTGGAATCCCATATGGTCACCAGGATCCCATATGTACTCCTTTTTGATTTTTAAAAGTTTTTATTTATTTATTTATTTATTTATATTTATTTATTTACTTTTGGGCCTGGCGCAGTAGCCTAGAGGCTAAAGTCCTCGCCTTGTACTCCCGGGATCCCATATGGGCATCAGTTCTAATCCCGGCAGCCCCACTTCCCATCATGAGAGATCCTGAAGAAGCTCCTGGTTCCTGCTTTGGATCAGTTTGAGGCCAGCATTATGTCACAGTGAGGTAGGCTGGCTCCTCACTGCTGCTATCCCACAGTAGTTCTGGTCAGCTTCTTGGCTTCCAATCTAATTCCCTGCTAACTACAAATAAATATTAAAAAAAAAAATTTTCTTATTTGAAAGGGGCACAGTCACAGAGAGCGAGTGAAAGAGGGGTTATTGATCTATCCACTGGTTGATTCCTCAAATGACTGTGATGACCAAAGCCAGGCCTGAGCCGGGAGTTCCATCTAGGGTCTCCTACGTGGGTGACAGGGACCCAAGGCCTTGGGTCATCACCCACTGCTTTCCCAGGCACATTAGCAGGGAGCTGGAATAGAAGTAGAAGAGCTGTGTCTTGAACAAGGGCCCATATGGGATGCTGATGTCCAAGGTAACCTCTTAATTCACTATACCACAACACCGTCCCTTGACAATAGTGAATTGTCCAATTTGGCTGGAGCAGAAAATGGGGGTGGGGTGGGGATCAAAGGAGTCCGAGAAGCAGCTGGCAGGTCACGCAGGGCCTCGATGGATGCCCTTTGCAGCAGGCCGGGGCCAGGAGTGTTGGGTTGGGCATCTGAGGATAGACTGCGGAATGAGAGCTGGCAGGAAGTGGGTCCCCGGGAGGGATGGACTAGGCTATGAGGGGTCCAGGAGGAGGCGAGGGAGTTGGTGATGGAGAGAGGCGCTTGTCTTCCAGAACACAGGGGTCTCCAGCTTGAGGGCCAGGCGGGCCGAGGGGCCATTCCCTCCCCAGGAGGGGGATCACAGGCTTGGTTAGGGAAGCTTTGGGGTTCTGACTTGGATAAGCAGGTGTGATGTGCATTGGTTTTCCGGAAACAGGGAGAGGGAGCCATGCGGTCAGGGGGTGGGGGGTCACAGGGAGGCTGGGCTCTGTGAGAGGAGGGACGAAGAGGAGGTGGGGGCAGTTGGGGAGTCTGGTGTGGGGCACATCTCAGGGGACACTTCTTTGGAAGGATGAGTGCTGGCTAGAGGTGCGGGGAGCCTGGGTGGAGAGAGTTAGGGGATGACTGGGGCGAGGGCTGGGTGAGGAGGGAGCCTGTTGTGGTAGGAGATGGCTTCTACTGTCCCCAGGAGATCTTGGCCTGGGAGAGAGGGGAAGCTTGTGGGAGCATTTGGGTGTCATTGAGGAGAGGAAGCAGGGGCACAGGGGCCAGGGGTGAGCTGAGCTGAGGGGAGCAGTCCTGGTTGCCTAGCAGCCTCATCTTGCCCCAGAACCAAGTGCAGTAAGGCGCTTGCAGGCAGAGGTGATGTGAAAACCCTGGGACAAGGCACTAGGGCGAGGGGAGCAGGGGTGCTTTGGAGGTGGGAGAGGGAGAAGGGATGATGGAGGGAAGGGCAGGGTGGGACTCCAGGCCAGGGAAGCATCTGGAAGCCCGGGTCTTAGTTCACCTTAGGCCGAAAACTTATAAGTGGGAATTTATGGCTGCCAGCTCTGGAACCCCAAGTCCATGATGGAGGCTCCCAACAGCAGTCTTGGCGTCTAGCAAGAGCCTGGTCACCACGGGATTATAGCAGAGAGCTCCTTGGGCACAATGGGAGAAGCCGTTCCCCTAAACTTCTTGGTCAGGGCCCCAAATTCCATCTGGGAGGGTGTTCACCGCCCCACCTGTCTTCTAACATCGGGGCGTCAGGAAGGAGGCTGAGGGACCACGCTGGGGTGGGTGTGGTCAGGGGGCACTGCTTGGCAGGTCTGGGTCCTTGTACTGGGGCACGCATGCCCTTTTGCCCAGAAGGGGCCTCCTAGCTCCCCAAGATACCTCTGTAAGGACTTATTCCAATATCCCACCCTGGACCCTGCGTCATTCCTTCTTCCTCACAGCTCACAGAATTCGTACCAGTCCAGCCATCCACCAATCAGATGTAACCTGGCATTCCACCTGAGAATCCCACCCCCAATCTCCCAGCCCCTTCCCCAAACCCGCCCACTCACCAATCATCCCCAGGCATTCACCTGCAGGCACCAATCCCCTGGGGCCTTGACCTCAATCCCTCCCAATCCCCGCCCCCCACCCCTGGCAGACAAAAAAGGCCCCCAGGTGCGGTTCGCTCTCTCTTGCTCTCTTGCTCTCTTGTTCTTTCTTGCTCTCTCTCTCTCTCTCGCTCGCTCTCTCTCTCTCTTGCTCTCTCTCGCTCGCTCTCTCTTGCTCTCTCTCTTTGGTTCCTCTCCCCTGCTCTTCCTCTCTCTCTCCTTCTTTCCTCCCTTCCCTCCCCTTCCCTGTTCCTGCCCCACTCGGTTCTCTCTCTCTCTCTCTTCCTCTCTCCCTCTCTCCCTCTCTCCTTCCCTCCTTCCTTGCTCTCCCCTTTCCCCCTCCTCCCCCTTTCCCCTTACCCTGTTCCTGCCCCGCTGGAATAAACTCTGGTATTTTCAGCTCACGGTAAAGAACCAGGTTGCGAGAATTAGCTGCGCGTAAAGTCTCTTAATATCCTATGACCTAGAACTAGAACTCTTCCATTCTTTTAAATAACTAACAACCTCCACTGGGGGATCTGAGCTCCTCTCACTTTCAGGGCCACGGGCTGACTGCCATAGCTGACCAGAGCCTCGGGGTTCAAGGCCGCCCGCACAGTTCCTGGCAGCCATAAGGTAAGTCCCTTCCCTTCCCGCTCCGTGGGGGTGTAGGCACAGGCCTCATCTCCCTAGTTCTGCACTCAGGCTAAATGTGGGCTGTGCTTTCTCAAAGGCCGGAACAAGGCTGGTGCAGGTGAGCAAAGATGGTAAGGTAACGCGCAGGGTTGGGAGGGCAGCAGATGCAGCAGCACAGGGGGACGCCGCCCCCAACGCAGGGAACCCCGTCTCCGCCCCCTACGTCGCCTCGCTCTTCTGCGAAGTTGCCGCCAGAGGGCACCCAGGAGTCTGGAGAACGAGCCTCCTGGGGGCCGGGGAACCCCGAAAAGGCTGCCGCGGATTGGGGTCTGTGCCTGAGGTTCGAACCCCACACGTGGGTTCGGGAGAGTCGGGATCTCAGGAATCAAGGAGACCCGGGCAGGCTCCGATGTCGTCACCCCAGACCTGCCCCCTCCTCCTGGGCTCCCCATTGCTTCCCCCACTCGGGGTGCCTCCTGTGGGTGGAGGGCTGCACCCTGGGTCGCGTCTGTTGCAGCGCTCGGGACCCCGGCCTTTCTCGGGTCCCCGGGGCGGAGGAGAGAGGGACTCGGTAATCCACGCCCTGGAGGCAGGAGTGGGAGCGCTCTCTTGGTGGGGTGCCCGCTCCCCGGCACCGGGGGCTGCCTCGGCCCCGCCTGGGCTCCGCCCCGACCCGGCCTGGCTGGCCCGCCCTCTCCCCCGGCTCGGCTGGGCCGGGAGCCCCGGGGGCCGCCGCCGCCGAGGAGCGCCCGCCATGCGCGCCGTCCCGCTGCTCGGGCTGCTGCTGCTCCGGCTGCTGCTGCTGGGGCCGCCGCTCGGGGCAGCTGGTCCCCGGGAGCCGCTGCCGCTGCCCACTGTGGTCCTCGCCATCCTGGCCCGCAATGCCGAGCACTCCCTGCCCCACTACCTGGGCGCGCTGGAGCGGTTGGACTATCCCCGGGCCAGGCTGGCCCTCTGGTGAGAGACACCCGGGATGCCCCCTTGCTTCCCTCTTCTCACGGCCACTCAGCTCCCAGCCTTGAGGTCAGCACTGCCTGACCACTCCCTGGCCAGGCGAGCCACCCCAGACAAGGCCCTGTTTTCACCCAGCAGGCCCTCCAACAGCCACAGGCTCCAGACTGTGTCCCCAGCCCCTCTAGCCAGCAAACATGGACCTTTGAGAGCCTAGGGGGATGGGGGGCCCCACCCTCTCTCCCTAGCCCTCTATTCCACCTCTCCAGGTCTTCTCTGGGTGTCCCTTGGGCCCAGGCTTGGTTCCCCAGATTCAGCTCCCATGGGACAGCTGTGGCCTGGGCTGGGTTGTGGCCAGCGCTGGCCAGCCTGGAGGTGCCCTGGGAAGAGGGGGCTGGGGTGTGTGTTGGCAGCTGCTGGCGGCCCAGGGAAACTGCCCCCTCCTTGGAGCTTCCTGTCAGTCTCCACTGGGGTTCAGAGATCAGAGGCCACAGCCCTCCCCACAGTAAGAGCCAGAGCAGAGGGCACCCCTCCCAGCTGAGGCTGGGAAGAACCTGGGCGAGATGGGGCACCCCCACCCCCCACTTGCCACAGCTCTGGGGCTGGGGGTGGAGCACGGCCGGCCGCCCACAATGACCACAGCTTGGGAGCCCTGCAGTTCCCACCCCGATTAGACATCAGGACACGTAATTGTCTTCAGTCCTCAGGGGATTGGCTTAAAGGGGCAGCACTGCCTAAAACCACGACTCCCAGTGAAGCCCTCCACCTCTGAATGAGGCGCACCCACCCCAGGAAGGGGAGGCTGGGCTCCAAGGCAATGGAGTGGGGGTCCATCAGCACTTCTCAGGGACCCCCAGAGTGTGGTCTGGTCTTTCTTGTGCTTTGTGGGCACAGGAAAGCTGCTGTCCTTGTTGCTGTTGTCCAGGCCTGGTTCAGAGAGGGAGAGGGGCTGGTCCCCGATTACACAGCCAGGAGGGAAGGTAGCTGGGGACAGGTGCAGATGGTTTCTGCCATTCCAAGTGCCCTCTCTTCTCTTCCCAGGGTCCAGGGCACAGGCAGGACAAGGTAGTTGGAAGGAAAGCCCAGAGAGGACCAGAACTGGCCTACAGTCACACAGCAGGACACAGAGCCGTGACTGGGCCCTGACTGCCCTGCCCTTCCTGGCTGCCCCCACCCCGCCCCCCAGGAGAGGTCCCCTCACCTTCACCCTTCTGCATCCCCAGGTGCGCCACAGACCACAATGTGGACAACACCACAGAGATGCTGCAGGAATGGCTGGCGGCTGTCGGGGACGACTACGCGGCTGTGGTCTGGAGGCCCGAGGGGGAGCCCAGGTGGAGCTCTGGGGGAGGGAGAAGGGGGTGCCACCAGCTGGGGCTCGGGCCCCTTGACACCCTTACCTCGCTCGGTCCCCGCAGACCCTACCCGGATGAAGAGGGCCCCAAACACTGGACCCGGGAGAGGCACCAGTTTCTGATGGAGTTGAAGCAGGAAGCTCTGACTTTTGCCAGGACCTGGGGGGCCGACTACATCCTGGTAAGGAAGCCGGCCAGGGGCCTGGGGCAGTATCTCTTAGCTCCCAGCCCCCTTGTGACGATCTTGCTGGTCCTTTCGTCTGCACTCTGGCTCAGTATGGAGCCTGAATCCTCAGGGCAGATTGGTAGGTATAGACTGAGCCTAGATTCCTAAATGAGAGCCTCGAATTTAAACCCATCCTGGATCCCTAAGCCAGATTTCAGACTAGAGTCTCAAATCAGCCTCCCTAGACCTAACCCCCAGTAGATCCTTGATACCTAAATGGATCTGTCAGGGTGGTTGAATACAGACTTCTGCCACAGGCTGGGTCTCAGCGAAGTTCCTAGGGCTTGGGTTGGTGAGGGGCTACAGTCCACCAGGGTCGGGGCCTGTGACATCCGTCATCTGGCTCCCCAAAGTTTGCAGACACAGACAACATCCTGACCAACGAGCGGACGCTGCGGCTGCTGGTGGAGCGCGACCTGCCGCTGGCCGCCCCCATGCTGGACTCTCAGACCTACTATTCCAACTTCTGGTGTGGGATCACCCCGCAGGTACGGCCGGCCGTGGGCAGTGGGACAGACGGCCCAGGGCTCCAAGGGGAGCCCTGACGGCCTGGGCGTCCAAACCACTCCAGGGCTACTATCGCCGCACAGCTGAGTACTTCCCCACCAAGAACCGCCAGCGCCGCGGCTGCTTCCGGGTCCCCATGGTGCACTCCACCTTCCTGCTGTCCCTGCGGGCCGAAGGGACAGCCCAGCTGGCCTTCTACCCACCGCATCCCAACTACACGTGGCCCTTCGATGACATCATCGTCTTCGCCTACGCCTGTCAGGCCGCGGGTGAGCCCCCGCACAGGCACACTCCTTTTGTAAAAGATTCTGTTTGATTGAATCTGAAAGGCAGAGTTGCAGAGAAAGGAGGAGAGGTGCACACAGAGAGAGAGATCTTTCCTCTGTTCGTCCACTCTCCAAAGGACTGAAACAGCTGGGGCTGGGCCAGACCAAAGCCACAGCCAGGGGCCTCACCTGGGTCTCCCATGTGGGTGCCCGGGTCCAAGCACTTGGGTCGTCCTCCACTGCTTTCCAGACATGTCAGCGGGGAGTTGGGTTGAAAGTGGAGCGGCTGGGATATGAATTGGTGCTCCTATAAGATGCTGGCGTTGCAGACAGTGGCTGAACTCACCATGCTATGGTGCCAGCCCCTCCACTCTGCATTAAAAAGGAGGGGAAGGGGGATGCAGTGCAGTGGCTTAGTGGCTAAATCCTCACCTTGCAAGCACTAGGATCTCAAATGGGCACCTGTTCATGTCCTGGCTGCTCCACTTTTTTTCTTTCTTTTTTCTTTTTAAAAGATTTATTTATTTTTATTGAAAGGCGGATATACAGAGAGGAGAAACAGAGAGGAAGATCTTCTGTCTGACGATTCACTCCCCAAGTGACCGCAATGGCTGGAGCTGAGCCAATCCAAAGCTAGGAGCCAGGGGCTCTTCCAGGTCTCCCACGCGGGTGCAGGGTCCCAAAGCTTTGGGCCGTCCTCCACTGCTTTCCCAGGTCACAAGCAGGGAGCTGGATGGGAAGTAGGACTGCCGGGATTAGAACCGGTGCCCATATGGAATCCCAGGCATGCAAGGTGAGGACTTTAACCATATGCTATCACGTTGGGCCCTCTTTATTTCTTTTAAAGATTTATTTTTATTGGAAAGTCGGATACACAGAGAGGAAGATCTTGCATCTGATGATTCATTCCCCAAGCGGCTGCATTGGCCAGAGCTGTTGGCTGTTCCCATCCAGCTTCCCATCCAGCTCCCTGCTTGTGGCCTGGGAAAGCAGTGGAGGACGGCCCAAAGCCTTGGGACCCTGCACCCATGTGGGAGACCCGGAGAAGCTCCTGGCTCCTGGCTTAGGATCAGCTCAGCTGTGGCCATTGCAGCCACTTGAGAAGTGGGGAAAACCAGCGACTGGAAGATCTTTTTTCTCTATAAACCTGATCTGCCTTTCCAATAATAATAATAATTAAAAAATCCTCTTTTAAAAAAGAAAATGTTATCATGTGGGCACCTCTGTCTACCTCACCTCCTGCATGTGACTGGCAATGCTAGGCCCTGGACCCTCACTCCTGGTCAGCTGGCCAGGTTCTGAGAGCCCTGCCACCCCCACCCCCGTCCCCCAGTCCAGTGCTCATGGGTCTCCCTCCTGGCAGGGGTCCCGGCCCATGTGTGCAATGACCACCGCTATGGGTACATGAACGTGGCTGTGAAATCCCACCAGGGGCTGGAGGACGAGAAGGTCAACTTCATCCACCTGTTCTTGGAGTCACTGGGTGAGGCTGGGGGTTTTGCTGGGGGGTCCCGCCTTCCCGACGCATGTGCACTGAGTCTGTCTCTTTCCTTTTTTGGGGGGGAAGGCTCAGTCTCTCCATGCCTAGAGTGGAGGCAGGTGGGGGCTGGTGGACTCTGATCTGCCAGGGCCCTCCTGCTGGGTATATTGCCAATAAGGCAATAATGGGGCTGCCCCCCTCCCCTGACCTGAGGCCGAGTGGGTGCTGCCTTTGCAGGAGCCAGCGGGGACTCTAGATCACGGGGTCCTTTCCTTTGCAGTGGATGGACCCCCCATGCAGGCTTCAGCTCATGTCTCTCGGCCCCCAAAGAGGCCCAGTAAGATGGGGTTCAATGAGGTAATCTCTTCCCACCTGTGAGATTGGAGGCTGGGAGACCGCTGGGCTCTCTCTGCATGCCTCCCCTCACTCCCACCCCGCTGCCTCTCTAGGTCTTTGTCATCAGCCTGGCCCGCAGGCCGGCCCGCCGGCAGCGCATGCTGAGTTCGCTCTGGGAGATGGAGATCTCCAGCCGGGTAGTGGATGCTGTAGATGGACGGTGAGGCTCCCCCCGTGGCACATCCTGGGGCTGCCAGGAGTGAGGGAAGTGAGGCTGAAGGAGTTGTGGGACACACACTGGGGACAAGGTGCCTCCTTCAGCCAACAGAGGGACGAGGAGGGTAAGGCTACAGGGTCTCGGTTCTCGGTCTTTTTTTTTCATCTGCATAAAAGGCAGAGTGGCAGCAATGGACAGAGAATCTTGCATTGCTGTTTCACTCCCCCCAGTGCCTGTAACAGCCAGGGCTGGGCCAGGCTGAAAAACCAGGAGCCAGGTCTCCCACATGAGTGGCAGGGGCCTGATTGCTTGAGTCGGCTGCCATGCAATGTGCACATTAGCAGGAAACTGGATTAGAAGCGGAGAAGCCGGGACTGGAGCTGTGCTCTGTTCTGAGATGTGGGCCGAGTGGTGCTTAAGCCTGGTCCCACAATGCCCAGTTGTAGGGTTGCGTGAGGCCCCGTAGAGAATGGAGGAAGCGAGGACCAGAGGATTCAGTGTCTTTAGCCATGTTTGTGCCCAGTCTGGACTTTGGTCCCCAAGGTTTGGGGATGAGTGCAGGCCGCCAAGGTGGCCTGGGTCATGCACTTGCTGCTGTTTGATACAAACCCCGGGTCCTTTGGCCATAGGGTGACCACCCTTTATTCAGGCCTCTGCCCAAGAATTTTCTACTGAGTTCTCCATGTTCATCCTGGGGGCTTCTGTGGTGCGGGGCTCCCCTAATCTGCTCCACCCCACGATGCTTCATAAAGTGGTGACAATTCTGAGACGGTGTTGTGCAGCTGGTTAAGCCTCTACTTACGACAGTGGCATCCCGTTTCAAAGCACTTGTTCCAGTCCTGGCTGTTCCAGATTTCATCCAGCTCTGCTAATACGCCTGGGCAAGCAGAGGGTGATGGTACGATTCTCCCCTCCACCCCACCTCTTTCTATGTCACTCTGCTTTCAAATAAGAATCAAAGCCGACAGACCTGGCCCCAGCATGCCACTCCCGTTAAAAGGGGCCTTCACCCCACTGCGCTGTGTCCCCAAGGATGCTCAACAGCAGTGTCCTGAGGCACCTGGGCGTGGACCTGCTCCCCGGCTACCAGGACCCCTACTCCGGCCGCACGCTGACCAAGGGCGAGGTGGGCTGCTTCCTCAGCCACTACTCCATATGGGAGGAGGTGAGATGTCCCACGGGGAGTGCAGGGGTGCCTGGGGCTCCCGGAAGCTGCGCCCCAGCAATGGGTGAGCTGTGTGAGTGAATGAATGCATCCACAAGAGGTGACTAGGGTCCAGGAGCCTTGTCTGTTGTTCTTTCTTGTCCTGGGTACCACCGTCTCCTCCGAGCACCTGCTGCGTGCTGTTGGGACGTACCCACATCCATCTGCTTTGAGCCTGGGGCGATCCTCCTGGGGCCCAGGCACTGGACGGAGGGCACGCGGGGGCCAAGGCTAGTGCCAGGGGAGGGAGGTGGCTGTTCTGAGGCTTCCAGCCCCAATTCCTGTCACGTGTGGGTGGTGCGTGGTGCATGGCGGGGCAGAGGGCCATCACATGTCTCCTGGAAGGGAGGTCCCTGGAGGTGAGTGGAAAGTTCCTCTTCCCCTCAGCTGTGCCCTGAGGATGTAGCCAGGGACCTGACTGCTTTTCAGATTATATTGGGAGAGTTTCAAATGCTACAGCAGGTGGGGATTTCAGTCTCCAGGCAGTGGGAGCCCAGCAGGCTTTGCAGCCGCTTCAATGAGTAGCCAGGCTGAGCCCCTGCAATGCAGCTGCCACCAGTAAGAGTCCAGTGGTTCCCAGCTGAAGGCCATGTCCTCCCCGACTCCCCTCCTGGGGTCTCGCAGGTGGCTGCAAGGGGCCTGGCCCGGGTCGTTGTGTTTGAGGATGACGTGCGCTTTGAGAGCAACTTCAAGCGGAGGCTGGAGCGGCTGATGGAGGAGGTGGAGGCACAGGAGCTCGCGTGGGACCTGATGTAGGCAGCCCGTTCCCCCAGGGTCAGGGAGAGAGGGGACTGCACCTGAGGCCAGGCCTCCCTACCTGGAGCCTGGCCCTGGAGAGGGGGAAGGAAAGGGTTGGGAGACGCTGACACCCCAGGACCTGCAGCGACTCCTGGGAACCCTTGGTGACACTTTGCAGCTACCTAGGCCGGAAGCAGGTGAACCCGGAGGAGGAGCTGGCCGTGGAGGGGTTACCGGGCTTGGTGGTGGCCGGGTACTCGTACTGGACCCTGGCGTATGCCCTGAGCCTGGCCGGGGCCCGCAAGCTGCTGGCCTCGCAGCCCCTGCGCCGCATGCTGCCTGTGGACGAGTTCCTGCCCATCATGTTTGACCAGCACCCCAAGTGAGGCTCACACAGGGCCTACTCTGGGAAACATGGAGGTTGGGGAGGCCGAGGCCTGCATCCAGGTCTTCAGGGAGCAGCCTCAGCATGCAAGCTGCACGGGGTGGTCGTTGTCTGGAGCCTCCGTGTCTTCCTCTGGAATCCTGGGGGACAAAGGCATCCTCATATCTCAGGGCTGCTGGGGGGCGCGGGGAGGCCTGGACGAGGGCTGAGCTGCCGTGCCTCCTTGCAGCGAGCAGTACAAGGCACACTTCTGGCCACGAGACCTGCAGGCTTTCTCAGCCCGGCCCCTGCTTGCCGCCCCCACCCACTACGCAGGGGACGACGAATGGCTCAGTGACACCGAGACTTCCTCCCCATGGGACGATGACAGTGGCCGCCTGATCAGCTGGAGTGGCTCCCAGAAGACCCTGCGGAGCCCTGGCCCAGGCCTGGCTGGCAGCAGTGGGCACAGCCTCCGCTCCCACCCCCCGGATGAACTCTAGGTGAGGCTGAGCTCCTGTGCATCTCTCTGTCTCTCTTTCTGATTCTGTCTAACATTGGTTCTCTCTCTCTCTCTCTCCTGCCTCTCTCGCCAGGTCAGCGGCGCTTACAGGAGTCGGCCTCACCCGTGGGAGCCAGAGACCCCTCAACCCTGAGACATCAGGCTGATCCCCTGGGCCTGGCCACTCTGCCCTGGGGACCCTTCTTGCATCAGGAGCAACCACTCAGAGACAGATCTCATTTCTCCAAGGTCACACAGCACAACGGCAGGGGACTTGGGGTTCCTGGATTTTGCCTGGCTGTTTCTGGAGACCTGGAGAACAGGAAGCAGGTGGCTCCCCAGGTTGGCAGAATCCAGGAGCCCTGGCCATCCCTGGGGACTCAGCCCCTGGGAGGTAGTCCTCGCTCCTTCTACCTCCACCTTGGCTCCCTCCCCAACTTGGCCACACAGGGCTCGCCAGTAGCTGCTTCCCAGGGAAGGAGCAGGTGGGCCTTTGTGGATCTCGTGCCCAGCACACAGTAGGCCTTCAATAAAAGCCCGCTGTATTTGCACTTTATATTTTTCGAACTCGTGGCTGAGACTGTCTGCACCTAACAGGCCTGGGAGAGAGGCCGTCCCCGTGCAGGGACAGGAGGGGAACAGAGCTGGGGGGTACTGCCTTGGAACCCTGCTCATGCTGGGTGAGCTGTGGCAGCAGGTACCCCCTCCATGTGCCAGCCTTCACTGGCTCTCTGGTGCTGCCAGCACTGCTTTTCACCTCGCCTCACTGGTCCTGGTTCTCGTCTAGTCCTAAACAGAGCGGCCACCAGAGGGCGCAAGGTGGCAGAGCCTGAACCCCTTTGAGCTCCTGGAGAACCAAGCTCTGCTTTAGGGTAAAGATGAAGCTGGCCTAGAGTTAGGGGCTCTGCCCTGCGCCCCGCCGGTGCCCCGTGGGCTCCTGTGCTTGGGACCTTGGCCTTCCCCTCCCTCTTCCACGGCCAGCAATTGTTGTCTCCCACACTTGTACCCAGGTAAGGGAAAGCGGGTGTTTGCCTTGGCCTTGGCCATGATGCCATTTGGGGAGTAAACCAGCAAGTAAAACATCTCTGTCTCTTTCTGTATCTTTTTGCATATTTGCATTTCCAATAAATAAGCTAATCTTTAAAAAAATATTATTATTGGAAAGTCAGATTTACAGAGAGGAGGAAAGACAAAAAGGTCTTGGGGCCTGGTGCAGTGAACTGGAGGCTAAAGTCCTTACCTTGCACACGCCAGGGTTCCATATGGGCACCAGTTCTATTCCCGGCAGCTCCACTTCCCTTCCAGCTCCCTGCCTGCGGCCTGGGAAAGCAGTCAAGCACGGCCCAAGGCCTTGGGACCTGGCAACCGTGTGGGAGACCCGGAAGACCCAAGTGGCCACAACGGCTGGAGCTGAGCTGATCTGAAGCCAGGAGCCAGGAGCTTCTTTTTCCCACACGGGTCCCAAGGATCATGATCACCCAGCATAATAGTAGCATGCTGTCACAGCTTTAATGAATACCCCGGCTACTGTCCTGAGCAGGAACTGTGGTCGAGTCCCAAGGAGAGTCAGGTGATGGCTCACAGACCCCCTGTAATTCCAGGCTTGCTGCTTGGACTGTCCCATGCCCCATGTGGGCCTGTACCTGGTGCTGAGGCTTAGCTTTTTTTTTTAAGATGTATTATATTTTTTATTTGAAAGGCAGGTTTATAGAGAGAGAAGGAGAGACAACTCTTCCATCTTCTACTTTATTCCCCAAATAGCCACAACAGTCAGATCACAACTGAACAGATCTGAAGCCAGGAGCCTGGAGCCTCTTCCAGGTCTCTCACATGAGTGCAGGGTCCCAGGGCTTTGGGCTGTCCTTGACTGCCTTCCCAGGCCACCTGCAGAGAGCTGGATGGGAAGCGGGACTGCTGGGATTAGAACCAGTGCCATATGGGATCCTGGCATGCGCAAGGCGAGGCCTTTAGCTGCTGGTCGACCACACTGGGCACCTGGACATTTTTTCAATCTCAGCTTTCAGTTCTGTCACGTGGGGTTGAACACACCTGCCGATTTCTTGCTGTGTGGTTCCCTGAGCCACTTCAGGTGGGCACCCTGCCAGGCACAAAGGCAGTCATGTACTTGAGGCCAACCAACATTCCATATGGGCACCGGTTCGAGTCCTGGCTGCTCTACTTTCTGTCCAGATGGGGTAGGCCAGGCTGCCCCGGGGAGGCTGCCCGAGAGGATGGCCTGACTCCGGATGTTGCTTCTGCCACTGCCGTGAGCCATGACTCTAACAGGCCTTCATCCTAAGCCGAGTTTCCTGCCTGTGGTTCCCTGTGCAATCTGACATGTGTCCGTCCAGTGTCAGCGATGCAGAGCCGAGGGAGGGACGTGAGGCCGCGCCTGGACTCTTCCTCCGGCTCCTACATCCCAGACTTGCACAGCAAGGTTCAACGCCCTCTCCCCAGAGTGCTGCTGTAATGATTGCATCAGGGCCCTGTGCGAGGGCATTCCCGACCGGAAACAGCTGGGACTCAGGCTCACAGGCCAGCGAGGGAAGGGTCCTGAGCCGACCTCTCAGGGCCTGAGTGCAGGGCAGCGCAGCACAGGAGCTGATGGCGAGTGGTGACTGGTCACCGCTGACCAGCAAGAGGAGTCCGTGTTCCTTGTGGAGGTTTCAGAACGCACCAGGATCCCATATGGAAGTCGGTTCTAATCCCGGCAGCCCCACTTCCCATCCAGCTCCCTGCCTGTGGCCTGGGAAAGCAGTCGAGGATGGCCCAAGGAACGCCTTGGGATCCTGCACCTGCGTGGGAGACCTGGAGGAAGTTCCTGGCTCCTGGCTTCAGATTGGCACAGCACTGGCCATTGTGGTCACTTGGGGAGTGAATCATCGGACAGATCTTCCTCTCTGTCTCTCCTCCTCTTCTCTATATACCTGACTTTGCAATAAAAATAAATAAGTATTTTAAAAAATTTTCTTTGGGCCCAGTGCGGTGGCCTAGTGGTCCCCTCCTACCTTGTAGACACAGGAGAAAAAAAAATAGAGAAGGGACAGAAACTTGTGTCCTGTATACCTGCTTCCAAGCCTGACACACCCCGCCCCCACTGGAGGTCCACATGGGAGTGCATCCCTCCCAACTATGTAAACAATATTAAAAATAAGAAGATGTATATATTTGCTTATTTGAAATGCAGGATGATGGGGCCAGGGCACGAGTGTTTGTGCGCGCGCACGCACACACATAGAGAGATCTATTAGCTAACTGGCTCCCACACATCCCCCACAGGCAGGGCGGGGCCGGGCCAAAACCCAAAGTCAGGGACTCTCCCTGTGTCTCGTGGTGGCAGGACCTGAGTACTTGAGCCTGCGCCTGGTGCCTCCCTGGTGCCTGGGCAGCATGTTGGATTGGGAGCAAGGGCAAGAATCAATCTAAGTATTCTTGCAGGCATCCCACATGGCAGGTGAACCCAGGGTACCACAATGCCCAGTCTTTTTCCTTCTGCTCTGGGGGAGAGACATCACTGGGAGGTCATCCTTGTCCTCTAGGAGCCTGAGCCCAGTGAGGACAGGGCACAGGGCATCGTCCAGGGGGTGGTGCCATGGACCAACAGGCCTAATCCTCCACTTTGGAGTGCCAACATCCCATACTGGTGCCAATTCACGTCATCGTTACCTCATTTCTTATGCAGCTCTGTGCCCGTGACCTAGGAGGGCAGCAGAGGATGGCCCAAGTTCTTGGGCCCCTGGACCTATCTGGGAGACCTGGAGGAAGCTCCTGGCTTTTGAGTGGCTCAGCTCCGGCCACTGTGGCTACTTGGGGAATTAATTAGCAGGTGGAAGATCTTTCTGTGTCTTTCCTTCTTTCCGTAGATCTGCTTTTCCAAGAAAAAGCCACCACTTGTGGTTTAGAGGGGTTTGCATTTAGAACACGCAGTGCAGAGGCTGGCATCAGGGCCAGTGGCTAGCCTGCTGGGTGGGACACTTGAATCAGTTCTCCTCTGCTGGGGGAAGTTACCAATGGGGAAATGAGAGAAGGAACAAGATGCCACTTGGTGGCGTCATTTTTCTTCTGTGGAAAACAAGGACAGTCAGAGTATGATTTAGGGCAGGACAAAGGTTTGGACAAGCCGCCCAAGGTTGCATGTCTAAGGGCTGAAGTCATTGCTCGAAAGTGACTCCACTCAGTGGAGGATTTGTGGATTTGGTGTTTGCCGACTCTCAGAGGGGCAGGTGACAAGAACGACTGGAGGGAGCCAGAGTTTCTGATGTAATGAGTGGAGCTGCAGTTGGTGAGGCTGGCATCCCATTCAGACGTGCCCATGAGAGTCCAGCAGTTCAGCTTCTGAACCTGCTTCCTGCTCACACACCTGGGGAAGCTGCAGATGACGGCCTGGCCAGTGCAGTCCCACCACCCGTGTGGGAGACCCTGATGGAATTCCTGGCTCTTGGCCTCTGCTTGCTGCGGCCCTGGCCACTGCAGCCACTTGAATCTTCTCCCTGTAACTGCCTTTCCAAGAAGTCCTAACAGAGCCAGGGACTGGAGACCCACCAGTACCCCACAGCGAGAAGAGGGTGCCTCCTATGGAAGTACTGGTGCCTTAGGCCACACTAGTAAAGCAGCCAGGACAGCCAGAAGTTAAGATTCCAGGGCCCGGCGCGATGGCGCAGTCATTAAGGTCCTCACCTTGCACGCCCGGGATCCCATATGGGTGCTGGTTCTAAACCCGGCAGCCCCGCTTCCCATCCAGCTCCCTGCCTGTGGCCTGGGAAAGCAGTCGAGGACGGCCCAAAGCTTTGGGACCCTGCACCCGTGTGGGAGACACGGAAGAAGCTCCTGGCTTCGAATTGGCATAGCATCGACCGTTGCACTCACTTGGGGAGTGAATCATCGGACGGAAGATCTTCCTCTCTGTCTCTCCTCTCTGTATATATCCACCTTTCCAATAAAAAATAATAATAAAAAATAAATCTTAAAAAAAAAAGATTGCAGGGACAATGCCGGGTATCAGTGGGGCCCTTTTCAAAGCCCTGTGCACTCTTGCAGGCAGTCCTCCAGTCCCCATGACCTCTGTGAGCTGCAAGCTGCTCTCATCTCCAAGCCAAAGAAGGACTGTGCGAGGGCATCGTGAGCACAGAAGCAGCGTGTCAAGTGCCTGGTCCTTGGCCAGTGGTAGCCGTTGTTTACAGCAACAGCAGAAGCTTGGTGGTGAGTAGGCAGTGAGTGGGCCAGCATGGTGAGAGACCAAGGCCAGCAGGGACAGTGGGTGCAGGCGGCGGGGAGGGGGGTATGCAGAGGGAACCTTGGAGTCCTTCGGCAGTGGGGACTTCTGGGGAAAGGGGCTCCGGACTTTCGTGCATCTCACGTCCATCTCCTACCACCTCCTAACAAAACAGGCCTCGTGCCACACTCCCTGGGCCTCAGGGTGCACCTGCTGTGACGCAGAAGTTTGATTCCGGGACTCCACTGTCCTTCTGGCCCTTGAGGCTCAGCCCTTGCCCAGGCTGGGTGGAGGGGGACTTCCCTGGAGTCATTCAGGCTCTGTCCTGCCTGCCCCTCCATTCCAGTGCCATGGTGCGTCTCTGCCTAGCAAGTGGTGTGTGTAACACTTTCTCAGTAGGCACGACAACGGTGGGCCAGCACTGGTGGGGCTGCCACTGGCTACCCCAGCGTCCCACTGTGGAGTCGCAGCCGGTTCTGCTTCTGATCTGGCTCCATGCGAATGCAAGGAAGCAGGCGATGGCCCCAGTGCTTGGGTCTGACACCCACGTGGGAGACCCAGATGGAGCCCCAGGCTGTGCTGGCTTTGTCCTGGAGAGCCTTGGCGGCCATGTGGGGAGTGAAGGAGCAGATGGAAGATGTTTCTGTGATTCTTTCAAATACAAATGAATAAATTCAGGGGAAGAAGTTGTGCCACGTTGGGAGGGTTGCTCTGCTGAGGTGTTGGAAGCCAAAGCTGAAGTCTGGCTGGGCTCGGAGGTTGTTCAAGCCTTCCTCTGGCTCTGGGAGCCTCAGGACAGCCACCCTATCCCCACCCTACAACGACCCAGGGGACTGCAGCGAAAACAGCGGCCCACGGAGAAGGTTGTCGCGGCGGTTAGGGGTGCAGGAGAGCGCGTGCAGCCAGAGGAGGCCCGACCCCTGCCTCGGAGGGCCTAGAGAAGCTGCAGAAGCCCCCCTGGACCCTCCACACTGACCAGGGACCAGGGACAGGCGTCGCTTTCTAGCAGCAGGTGGCCGCCCTTCGAGCCCAGCGTACCTATCCAAGGGCGGCGTTCCAGCCTCAAGCAAGGGTGACCGCGCCGAAGAAGGGCAAGCTGGTCCCGCAGAGACCCCAGCCGCGCAGGCCGTCCTCCGGGCGTCGCGCGTCTCCCGGGCGACCGGGCCACGCGTCCCGGAAGTGGGCGGAGCTGGCGGCGGGGCGGGGCATCTCTGTGACGCCGGGGGCTGGGCCTAAATGGCGACAGCCGAGCGGCGCAGGGGGGGGTTTGAACTGGCCAATGGGCGAGCTGCCGACCGGGTGTCGGAAGAGGAGGCGGAAGCGGGGAGGAGCCGCCGCCGGAGCCGGACTGCATCCGCCGCGGCGTCTCCATGGCACGACCCTGGCCTCCGACTTCAACGACTTCATAAGGAGGCGTTTCTGGGCGCAGCCGTGTCGCTCCTGGTGAGAGGCCGCCGGCGGGCGGGACGCCGTCCCGGGCCTCCCGGGGCGCGCCGTGCGGCCGTGCGCACCCGCACCCGGGCCCTCGGGGTCAGAATGTGGCCCCCGCCCCGCCCACCGGCGCGGGCTGCTCCTCCTCCCGTAACGGGCGGCCGGGCCACCTCCCTCCTCTCCGGGCCACCGGCAGGGCCTCTCTATGGGCAGGAACTGGTGCCCTCCTGCCCGCTGGTGGGTGGCCGCCCCTTCTCCCCACCGGCGGAGGCTGGCTCTTCGTCCCCTTGCCAGCCGGCGGGCATCGCCAGGTCCTCCTTTCCTGTCGCTGCCTCGGGTCACGGGCGCAGCTGGCCGGGGCCCTCCCGTCCGTCCGGCCGAGCCGCCTCCCCTCGAGTGGTTATGGGGTACCCCACTCGCGGCCAAGCCCTCGCTGGTACCCCGATCCCGGGGACCGCCGCTCCCTCTTCCAAACGCGATGGTGCACCTGTTGTACCGGGAACGCCCCCCTCCTAGGAGACAGTTGCCCCGGCCCCACCCGGAATATCCTCCAGCTCCCTGCGCGGGTTCCGGGCCCTTTGGGGCCCATTTGGGGCCTAGCGATTCTCACACACCTGCCCTCTGCGCACCCCAGTCAGCACCTCAGGTTTTTCCCCGTGTTAGCTGTCTCCCAGCCCCCTAGCCCTTGCCTCCCTCGTCAGGTGGGGCCTGGGTCCGGCGCCCAGGGGAGCTCCAGTTGCGCCCCCTTCTCCCGGCCACCCTGCAGTTCGCTCAGCCTGTCCTATCTCCTCCCCCTCCTTGCCCTCCCCGCTTTGGCAGGACAGTTGCTGTGCGACTTGGACAGTAGAGGAGCGCCTCCCAAGTTCTCGTCCACCTGCCACCCCCAAAGCTTCCACCCTCTCCTCAGAGATCACGTTTGATGCCGGGCCCCTGAGATCTCATTGACAAGCCCCCGCTGGTCCCCCTTGAGCAGAGCCAGCTGACCCAATTGCCCACGGTTGCGGCTTTGATGCCTAGCCATGTCTGCCTCGTCCTCGGGCGGCTCCCCCAGGTACTGCCAGCGTGTGTGGGGACGCCTCCGCTGTAGGGCAAGGGAAGGCAGCCAGCCGGGGGTGTCCAACCTGCTCTTTGGGTCAGCACCCCTGTGATATTTCCTGCAGGTCTGGACCAAAACATTGAAAAAAAAAAAAGCAATAACAAAAAACTAAAAAGCCCAAGCATTTGTTTAAAGGGAAGGAGAAAAGATCCCGGTTTTGCCTCCCTCCTCCCTCTCCCCCAGCCCCACCCATGGGTGTCCTGTCCCTGGTAGCACCCGGGTCCCTCCGGTTGTCCTAGTGGAGTCAGCTACACAGGCAGGCAGGTGTTTAAGTGACGTGGCTGCAGACATGAGCGAGTTGTTGATGAAACCCAGGCAGCCTAGGGGGTGATCCCACAATGATTGGCTTCAAGTGAGCATAAGCGTTGTCAGGGAGGGCTTAAAGCATAATTTGTGTTTTTTTTTTTTAAATCAAGTGTGCTATGTTTACAGCAAAACGCATACTGAAGGGCCCCAAGTATTTTTACATTGCCTTTTTTCTTTAGGACTGTGTTTCTCAAATCCTCTTGGGGAGGAGGTTTTTGGGGGAGACCCTGTGGTGGATCGTGTGACCCGTGGTTCCCAGGCCTTTCCCACCCTGGGGCTGTCAGGTGTCCCGCCGTGCTGGCAGATTTTGGGGTGTAGCTGTGTTTGCAAGGTTAATTAGAGGTGGCTTTGAAAAGGAAAGCCTGTGAGGTCCTCGGCTGCTGGGAGGCTCACGGGGAGGACAAGGAGCATCCCTGGGAGGCAGGTGCTTGTCCATCTTACATGTTAGGGTCACAGCGACTCTGTCACAGGTTCTGACCTGATGCTCACTGGTCGCTTCTGCCTCTGTACCAAGTTTACGCTCTAAGCTCCTGCAGTCACCCCTCTCCCCTCCCAGGCTGTGCCTCCCATGAGGCCTGCTTGCTGTCACCAGCAGACAGGATGACAGTGAAGCTTTTTTGAACCAAAGGTCACAATACATGTGATGCGACAGCATGTTGAAAGGCTGGTGGCGCTGGAGCCCTTTACCTGCTTTCCATCCTCTGCTGGGCCCGCCATGCATGTCTGTTGCTCATCTGTGGAGAGGCAAGGAACTCCAGAGTGGGTCTGGCCCTGAATACGTTAGTCACCGCGTGTGGAGGGAGGTCTCAGAAGATGGAAGAAGCTACATGGGGGCTGGGGCCGTGGCACAGCAAGTTAAGCTGCCACCACACCATTGGCATCCCCTTTGAGCACCAGTTCTAGTCCCAGTTTCCTGCAGTCCTAGCCCAGCTCCCTGCTGTTGCACCCCGGAAGCAGCAGAGGATGGCCTGAGAGCCTGGGCTCCTGCACTGGAGCTTTGTCCTGGCACCACCCCGCCCCTGTGGCCATTTGGGGAGTTGAATCAGTAGATGGAAGTTTTCTCTTTGTCTCTGTAACACTGCTTTCCAAATAAGCACATCTTTAAAGGAAGCCGGGGAGCCTGGAAGTGTCCTGTTTGTAACCTGACTTTTGTGCCCGGATGCAGGTTTCCATCGTGCGGGAAGAACGGAGTAACAAGTCTCACGCAGAAAAAGGTCTTGAGAACACCTTGTGGCGCACCCAGTGTCACCGTGACGGTAGGTGGCCCGGCCTGCAGCGCCGCGCCCTTCCTGGGAGCCGCCAGAGCCTGGGCACCCCGCTGCGTGCTGCTGTTTGTGCCTCTGTCTTGCTGCTTTCTGACTTTGGTTTTGCTGTTGGTAAGGCTGCTGAGGATGTGGGAAGGTTGTCTAAACCTCATCCTTCTAGGGAAATCCCTCGAATCTTTTATTTTTAAAAATTTTCTTATGTTTTTTTAAGGATTGATAAAGAAAGATCCATTTATTTTCTGGAAAGGCAGAGTTAAAAGAGAGAGGGAGAGAGGTCTTCCATCCACTGATTCACTCCCCAAATGGCCACAGTGGGTGGAACTGTCCTGGTTGGAAGCCAGGAGCCAGGAACCTCTTCTTGGTCTCCCACATGTGTATGAGGGCCCACTCATTTGGACCATCTTCTGCTGCTTTTCTGGGCACATTAACAGAAGGCTGGCTCAGAAGGGGAACAGTTGGGACTCAGATTAGCGCTGGCCATAGCACATCAGTGGCCCCAAAGGTTTTTGTTTTGTTTTTTAATTTATGTGAAGAAGTTAGAGAGGCATCTTTGATGTCCTAGTTCACTCCCCAGTTAGCTGCATGGCCAGGGCTAGCCCTCCCATGTGGGTGCCAAGCACTTGGGCATCGTCTGCTGCTGCCTCCCCAGGGAGCCAGACTGGAAGAACAACAAGCAGGATTTGAGTAAGAGTGCCCACGGGCCTGGCATGATGGAAGAGGCTGGATCCTCCACTTGCACATTCTGGGATCTCATATGGGCGCCGGTTCTAATCCCGGCGGCTCCACTTCCCATCCAGCTCCCTGCTTGTGGCCTGGAAAGCAGTCGAGAACGGCCCAAAGCCTTGGGACCCTGCACCCGCGTGGGAGACCTGGAAGAAGCTTCTGGTTCCTGGCTTTGGATCAGCACGCCATCCACTGTGGCCATTTGGGCAGTGAACGAGCGGGTGGAAGTTCCTTCTGTCTCTCCTCCATCTGTAAATCTGACTTTCCAAAAAAAAAAAGTATGCACATGGGTTGTTGGCATCGCATGAGGCAACTTCACTTGCTCTGCCTCACACTGGTCCCAATTCCCCAGATCTTCAGATAGATTAAAAAAAATTTTTTTTTAGAGTGCGGGAGTGCCCAGTGCAATGGCCTAGTTGCTAAATCCTTGCCTTGTATGCTTCGGGATCCCATTGGGGCGCCGGTTTACATGCCTGTTTGTATCCTGGCTGTTTCACTTTCCGCCCAGCTCCCTGCTTGCAGGCTGGGGAAGCAACAGAGCACAGCCCAAAGCCTTGGGACCCTGTGCCTTTATGGGAGACCTGGAAGAAGCCCCCAGCTTTGGATTGGCTTAGCTCAAGCTGTTGCGACCACTTGGGCAGTCACCCAGCGGATGGAAGATCTTTGTCTCTCCTTCTCTCTGTAATTTTGCCTTTCCAATAAAAATAAAATAAATCTTAAAAAAAAAAAAGAATGCAGGGAGGGAGTAGGTGCTGGGTAAGGAGTGTGAGTCGCTGGGCTCTGCCCTGCTCCTATTTCTTGGGAGTATTGAACCCCCTCCTCCTCCTCGGCGTTTCCTACAGCTTTCTGTTTCCACAGATTTTTTTTTTTTCATTCTGTCTGTATGCTAACCACTTGGTATGTTTCCCATCCCATGCCCATCTTGCATGCCTGGTGAGATTCCCCGTGCAAGATTTCCCCCTTCCTTTCAGCTGTGCTTCGCCAGTCCAAGGAATAGCCGTGCCCTGCAGCAGGCCTGGAGGGAGACGCCTGGCAGAGCACTGGCGTCCTGGCAGTGGGCTCCTGGCGGGCCCCTCAGCAGCTGGTGTCCTGGCCCTGGGGGCCTCCCAGCGCCCCCTGGTGGTCTTGAGCTGAAATATCTGCAGGAGCCTGCTGCAAGGCACTCACCTTGGCCGCTGCCCGCATGCCGGTAGTTGGTAGCTGTCCTGCTTGCTTGGCTAGGCTGACAAGGGTACCCCAAGAGGCCAGGAGCCCTGCTTGTATCCCCCGTTCAATCTCTTTTATGTCCTCCACCCACCAGCAGTGAACCATGAAGGACCGCTCTTCAACTCCCCCCTTACATGTTCACGTGGATGAGAACACCCCTGTCCATGTCCACATAAAAAAACTCCCGAAACTGTCAGCGACCACCAGCCAGGTAGGAGCATGCCCGTGGGGCCAGGTCGCGGCTGTGGATGAGGGCGATGCCTCCTGGTGCTGCCAGCATCCCCCTGGAAGGTCTGGGTGACACAAAACACTCTTGGAGGTCAGTTGCCTGGTGAGAAGAAGGTAGGCAGGCTGTCATGCAGGCGTGGCAGCCAGAGCTGTGGCCAGAAACGGGCTCCCCATGGCGCCAGAGGTGGAGGCTGGCCACCAGAGTGACACGGTGGCCTGCCAGGTGGATGTGGAGGTGACACTGAGTTTGTTCCTTTCTACAGAAATCTCATAAGCGCGGAATGAAAGGGGACACGGTGAATGTGCGGCGGAGTGTCCGGGTGAAAACCAAGGTACCTTGGATGCCCCCTGGAAAATCATCCGCCCGGCATGTGGGATGCAAGTGGGAGGTAGGCTCACTCCTGTTCAGGCTTGCCTTCTCGGACTGGGCACATTGTAGCAGGGCCTGAGATGCGGTAGGATTCAGGGTCAGCCGTGGCCATCGGAGACCTCCCTGAGGGTCGGTCCACTCTGCCTGGCTGAGTTAGCGTGTAGAATCTTGTGCTTTCCCAGCACACCCCTGTGGTGGGTAGGTCCAGCTGTCCCACTGTAGGCATGAAGTGGCTTGCCTGGAGTCCCCCACCTAGCATGCAGCCCACACGGAGCTGGGGTGCAGGAGCGATTCGTTGAAGAGGCTGTGTTCTTGGTCCCTCTGCTTTCCGTGTGAGGGGCTACTTGTATGTCCCCAAGTAAGTGCTAACAGCACCGGAAATACACATGTCTAATGAAGCATCGCTCACTTCAAGGTACTTCCTGAAACACCACACGTTTCCCTGGAGACCATGAAAATCTCCTTGGAAACAGTTTCCTGGGGAATAGTTGCCTCACGTTAGTGGCCAAGGCAACTGCCTTTTCTTCCCCCTTCCTTTATTGGAGAGTCAGATTTATAGAGAGGACAGATCGAAAGACCTTCCATTCACTGGTTCACGCTTCAAAGGCCACGATGGCAGGAGCTAAGCTGACCTGAAAGCAGTAGCCAGAAGCCTCCTCCGGGTCTCCCCAGTGGATGCAGAGTCCCAAAGCTTTGGGTCATCCTCTGCTGCTTTCTCAGGCTGTAAGCAGGGAGTTGGATAGAAGTGTGGAGGAGCTGGGACCTGAACTGGCATCCGTATGGGATGCCGGTGCTTGCAGGTGGAGGATTAACCAATTGAGCATTGTGCCGGCCAACTGACTTTTTTGTTTTTAAGCGACGCCTTCTCATGTCTTGCTTGTCTGTCTCTCCAGCTATCACTCTTCCGCCTGTGTATCTGTCTGTCCGTGCAGTAGGCGCAGCACTCATTTATTGAGGATTGTACTGGGCACTGCTGGGTGCTGAGGTACCTGCTGTGTGGTACCTCACCATCTGGTTGGCGGCAATGCACCAACTCTTAACACAAAAAGCTTTGTGACAAAGCTCCTATTCCTGGAGTGGGGACGGGCTCAGGACAGGGTGTGGTGATGATAACCTAGCTTCAGGATTCTCTTTCATAGAATTTGTTAAAAGCGTAAGTCAAAAATGAAGGTGGTTGGGCCCAGTGCGGTGGCTTAGTGGCTAGGTTCCTCACCTTGAGCATGCTGAGGTCCCATATGGATGCTGGTTCTAATTCCAGTAGCCCCACTTCCATGCAGCTCCCTGCTTGTGGCCTGGGAAAGTAGTCAAGGACGGCCCGAAGCCTTGGGACCCTGCACCTGCGTGGGAGACCTGGAGGAGGTTCCTGGCTCCTGGTTTCAGATCAGCATAGCACTGGCCGATGTGGTCACTTGGGAAGTGAACCATTGGACCGAAGATCTTCCTCTTAGTCTCTCCTCCTCTCTGTGTGTCTGACTTTGCAGTAAAAATAAATAAATCTTTAAAAAAATAATAATAAAGTTGGTTATTCTGAAGGTTTTTTTTTTAAGATTTGTTTATTTTTATTGGAAGGACAGTTACAGAGATCAGGAGAGACAGAGAGGAAGATCTTCCGTCTTCTGGTTCACTCCCCAAATGGCCAGTGCTGAGTTGATGTGAAACCAGGAGCCAGGAGTTTATTCTGGTTCTTCCGCATGGGTGCGGGTCAAGGCCTTGGGCCGTCCTTGACTGCTTTCCCAGGCCACATGCAGGGAGCTGGATGGGCAGTGGCATGGCCGGACCAGGAACTAGTGCCCGTATGGGATGCTGGTGCTTAGAGGTGAGGGATTAGCCAGCTGAGCCGACATGTTGGCCCCTCTTATTCTGAAGTATACAGTCACACCTCATGGTTTTGACTTCCTGATTTATCAATGTCTCCTTATGAGAAGCTGAGCGGTAACTGCGGTGTTCTCCCAGCGGCTCCGGCACGCGTGGGAGGGGTTAGGCTGAGGTGCCATCTTATATATATATATATATATATATATTTACTGTGCACATGAGCAACAATATGCATTTAGAAATAAACTGTGAGCTATGATTTTTACTAAATGGAAGAAATTTTAAGATTACAAATGTTTGGGGAGGTCTCCAAAGAAACTTTGTCTGAAGTATTCTCAAACCAGATTCTTGTATGTGCTAGCAAGTACAGGGCCTGGCACAGTCCATCGCCCCGATCAGCTAGTGGTTGCAATTGCTGGGTTGGTTCTGTTTTCACGTGATGGACTCAGAATCCTAACCAAGAAAAGAGAGAAGACAGAACAGGTCAACCAACCATCTCAGCTATATCTTGGCAGTGAAATACGGGGCAAACAGAGACTCTATGATGGACTATGTCAATCAGTGGATTCTTCAAGGTCCTCATAGTGCTTGGAGTGACAAGATTGGCAGCGATTCATAACTGTTGAACTATCAAATCCACTTGAGCAAGAACCTCAGAGCATACCCTACATGCGAGACCTGGGGAGGGTGGGAAATTGGGTGGGCCTTCTCCCTTAATACACCCCTTTAAACGTGAAGGAAACAATATGGAAAAAATACTAGTCTTATACCCACTTTCCTGTAGCCCTTGAACCTTTTTACCCTAATTAACTATGTAAAGATTGTCAAAATATTAAAAAAAAAACTAAAAAAAAAAAAGATTACAAATGTTGTACCCGGCGGCGTGGCCTAGCTCCTAAAGTCCTTACCTTGAACACGCCAGGATCCCATATGGGCGTTGGTTCTAATCCTGGCAGCCCCACTTCCCATCCAGCTCCTTGCTTGTGACCTGGGAAAGCAGAGGAGGACTGCCCAAGGCCTCGACCCGCACCTGTGTGGGAGACCTGGAGGAAGTTCCTGGCTCCTGGCTCCAAATCGGCGCAGCACCGGCCGTTGTGCTCACTTGGGGAGTGAATCATTGGACGGAAGATCTTCCTCTCTGTCTTTCCTCCTCTCTATATATCTGACTTTGTAAAAAAATAAATAAATCTTTTAAAAGAAAGATTACAAATGTACTAACCAGTAACCAGTGTATGGGATATCAATAAAGCTGTGTAGGCTTTTTTTTTTTTTAAAGATTATTTATTTGAAAGAGAGAGTGAGAGACAGAGGGGGCTTTTCCATCTGCTGGTTCGCTCCCCAGCTCAAGCTGGGCCAGACTGCAGCCAGGAGCCTGCAACACTCAGTCTTCCACAGGGGGGGGCAGGGCCCCAGGCCCCTGAGCCTCACTCGGCCACCTTGCTAGGACATTAGAAGAGGTACTGGGTTGGAAGTAGGGCAGCTGGGAATAGAACTGGTTCCCATGTGAGATGTCAGCATTGTGGACTGTGGCTTCACCCACTGAGTGGCAGCACCGGTGCCTTGGTAGGCAATCTTGACAGGACTGTGAAACTGAGCTGCTTGGGGCGGTGTGGTGGTGCCCGTCCACCTGCTGCTTCTGTAGTCTTACATTTGGAAATTCATCCTTAAAGTCACAAAAGAGTACAGGAGTCTGTCACAAATGTGATCAAGAAAAACTGGAAGTGTCTGCGTGGCTGTGAGGTGGTGGTGTGAGGTTCCCGCAGTGGGGTGCAGCCGTCCAGCCTGGGGGCGTTGTTACGTGTGATGACAGGGCGAGTTTGTCCTTATCAGTACAGGAAGTGGGCACCGTGTTGTCTGTATGTATGCATTGTGTTCATCTATGCGTCATATATATTTATTTTTACAGATTTACTTTTTGGAAGGCAGAGTTACAGCGGGAGGGAGGCAGAGGTCTCCACTTGCTGGTGTTCTCCCCGAATGTCCCTTGGCCAGGACTGGACCAGGCTGAAGCCAGGAGCCAGGAGCTCCGTCTGGGTTTTCCATGGGTGGCAGGAGTCCAGGCACTTGGTCCAATCTTCCACTACCTTCCAAGGCAGATTAACAGGGAGCCGGATCAGAAGTGGAGCAGCTGGGACTCAACGCAGCATTCATGGGGGATGCTGGTATAGCAGCCAGGGGCTTTATCCACTGCAGCACAGTGCTGGCCACATGCATAACATTGTTGGACAAGATCTATTATATTTATTTATTTATTTTTTAAAGATTTATTTATTTATTGAAAAGCCAGATATACAGAGAGGAGGAGAGACAGAGAGGAAGATCTTCCGTCCGATGATTTACTCTTGAAGTGACCGCAATGGCCAGAGCTGAGTGGCTCAGAATCTAGGAGCTAGGATTTTCTTCTGGATCTTCCACATGAGTGCAGGGTCCCAAGGACTTGGAGTATCCTCCACTGCTTTCCCAAGCCACCAGCAGGGACCTAGATGGGAAGTGGGGCTGCTGGAATTCGAACTGGTGCCCATATAGGATGCCAGACTGTAGCCACTAAGCTACCATGCTGGGTCCCTCCAGTACAGAAGAATGTTTTATTATGACAACCATATATTCATAACATTTTTAAATGTCTTTCAATAGTTCTATCTGTATTTAAAGTTCTCTAGGGTAATTTAAAAAACAATAACATTGGGCCCGGTGGCATGGCCTAGTGGCTAAAGTCCTCTCCTTGACGCGCCGGGATCCCATATGGGCGCCGGTTCTAATCCTGGCAGCTCCACTTCCCATCCAGCTCCCTGCCTGTGGCCTGGGAAAGCAGTAGAGGACGGCCCAAAGCTTTGGGACCCTGCACCCGTGTGGGAGACCCGGAAGAAGTTCCTGGCTCCTGGTTTCGGATCGGCATAGCACCGGCCGTTGTGCTCACTTGGGGCGTGAATCATTGGATGGAAGATCTTCCTTTCTGTCTCTCCTCCTCTCTGTATATCTGACTTTGCAATACAAATAAATAAATCTTAAAAAAAACATAACAAAGTATAATCTATTATAGTGACAGATTTCTCAAATGTGTTAGGTCTTATTTTCTGTATTTAAATAAAAAAAGCCTGAGTGAACTTGGTGGGAAAGACAAGGAACTGAATAGAACAGTTTTGACTCTTAAACGCAGCATAAGTATTTCCAGATTAAACAGTGAATTCAGTGTTGGATAAAGCACAGCAAACAACACTTAACACCGAATGAATTTTCCAGAAAGTCCTTCCTCCTCATACCCTCCAGTATTTTCTTCGGCCCGTCAGCAGGGAGCTAGATTGGCAGTGGAGCAAGCAGGACTTGCACCAGTGCCCACGTGGGATGTCGGCCTCTCAGGCGGGGGTGAGCATGCGCCCCATGTTGCACATCTCCAAGGTGTGATTCCATGGGATGCTGTTTGCTGCGTGCTTTGGCCTAGAGCACTCTCATCACAAGTTTAGCTGTGTCCCTGCCTCACGTAGCTGTCTTGTTTTCTGCTAGATGCTTGTAGTTGGTACTCAGGGATGGAGCCCACAGGGATGGAGAACAGAGCCCTTTCTTAATTGTCCTGAAAGGGCGGTTCTCCCAGGGGCAGTGATGGCTCCTCCTTCCTGATGGGCTCTGGGAACTGAAGGTTAGCGCCCCCTGCTGAGGAGCAGCCAGTAACTGCAAATTAGCAGTCACCGTTACTTCCCTTCAGTGTCCAAAACAAAAATGGGAAGGGAAGCCCTGGCCTCCAGATTATATTAAAAACTTTTTGTAATTAAAAAGATATTTATTTATTTGAAAAGCAAATAAATGTATTTCTATCCACTGGTTCCCTCTTCAGAGGCGGCAGGTGACTGCTAGGCAGGTCAGAGCCAGGAGCCTGGCACGCCATCCTGCTCTCTGTCATCACCCAACACTTGCCGGGGTCGTCAGGGAGAGCTGTGAGGGCAGGGGCGCCCGCTCAGGCGCCATGCTGACATGGCATGTGGGTGTCCCACGTGTCACCTTGGCTTACTACACCGCAGCACTCTCATCCCCCGGGTTTATCTTCCTTATTTATTTACTTACTTTCATTAGAAAGGCTGATTTGCAGAGTTAAGGCAAGACAGAGAAAAAGGTCTTTGATCTGCTGGTTCACTTCCCAAATGGCCACAGTGCTTGGAACTGGGCTGATCTGAAGCCTTTTCCAGGTGTCCCACGTGGGTGTAGGGGCCCAAGGATTTGGGCCATCCTTTGCTGCTTTCCCAGGCCGTGGAAAGGGAACTGGAGCCGAGGTAGAACAGCCAAGGCACAAACCAGTGCCAGTATGGGGTGCTAGCACCACAGGGTAATGAGCAGTGTGCTACACTACCATGACAATCCCCAAAAGACTTTCAGCCTATTATTTATGTTTTATTTATTCATTTTTAAAATTGGAAATGAAGATATACAGAGAGAAAGATCTTTTGTCCACTGATTCACTGCCCAGTTGGCCACAACAGCCAGAGCTGAGCCAATTTGAAGCCAGGAGCCAGGAGCTTCTTCTGGGGCTGCCACGCAGGTGCAGGGTCCCAAGGCTTTGGGCCGTCCTTGACTGCTTTCATAGGCCACAGCAGGGAGCTGGAATGGAAATACAACAGCCAGCACTCAACTGTCGATATGGGACCCCAGTGGTTGCAAGGTGAGGAGTTAGCCCTTAGTGGGACTGAACTCCGACACAGATGTAAGATGGCTTCCATTTTTTTTTTAAAGATTTATTTATTTTTATTGGAAAGTCAGACACATAGAGAGGAGGCGGAGAGACAGAGAGGAAGGTCTTCCATCTTTATCTGGCCCAGACTATTTTTTTAAAAACATTTTTTTAATTGGAAAGTTAGATTTACAGAGAGAAGGAGAGACAGAAAAATCTTCCATCTGCTAGTTTACTTCCCAAGTGACCACAGCGGCTGTAGCTGAGCCGATCTAAAGCCAGGAGCCAGGAGCCTCTTCCAGGTCTCCCACACAGATGCAGGGTCCCAAGGCTTTGGGCCATCCTCGACTGCTTTCCCAGGCCACAGGCAGGGAGCTGGATGGGAAGCGGAACGTCCAGGATAGGAAGCAGCACACACACATGGCATCCTGGCGCGTGCGAGGCGAGGTGTGCAGCTATGAACCCATTATGTTTTTCATTATATGCATTTATAAAAATGTTTGTTATTTTTCTGTGTAGCCAAAATGATGATTAGTCCTAAGGGTTTTTTTTCTTTAAGGAAAAGAGTTACAGAGACAGAGCTCTTTTATTTATTTGTTCATTCCTCAATGGTCCCAGAAGGCCAGGGCTGGGCCAGGCCAAAGCCCGGAACCTAGGATTCCGTGCAGCTTTCCCCCCAGGGTGCCATGGGCACAGGGACCTTGGCAGTCTTCCACTTACCCAGGAATTTGCAGGGCGCTGGGTCCGAAGCGGAGCTGCTGGGGCTTGAAGTGGCACTCAGGTGGCACTGCCAGGACACTGGTTCCAGAGTTTCATTTCTTAATGTTTTACAGTATCCGATTGATTTTTACATTTTTAAATTTATCCCTAAAATATTGATCTACTCTGATGTATTAATATTTATTGTAAAAAAAAAAAAAGGTTTTTATTTGGGAGGTAGAAGTACAGAGAGGAGAGACACAGAGAGAGATCTTCTATCTGCTGGTTCACTGCCCACCAAATGGCCATAATGGTCAGAGCTGAGTCGATAGGAAGCCAGGAGCCAGGAGCCTTCTCTGGTCTTCCATGTGGGTGCAGATGTCCTAGAGTTTGGGCCATCTCCTGCTTTCCCAGGCCAATTATCAGGGAGCTAGATTGAAGGTGGAGCAGCTAGGATGTGAACTGGCACCACATGGGATGCTGGTTCTGCACGTGCAGGCTTAGGTAACTACACCGCAGCCCTGCACACCCCATGCCCATGTTCAGGCTGATTTATTTGAAAGGCAGAGTTAGAAGGATAGATAGATAGAGAGATCTTCCATTAGCCATTTTACTCCCAAGTGGCTGCAATAGTGAGACTGGGTCAGGCTGGAGCCAAGATCCTAGAACTGCAGCTGGGTCTGTTATGGGTGTGACAGAGTCTGGGCCATCTTTTGCTGCTTTCCCAGGCACATTAGCAGGGAGCTGGAGGAAAAGTGGAGCAGCGAGGGCTGGGACAGCGCTCCTCTGGAACGTTAGCGTTATAGACGAAAGCTTAGCCTCTTGTGTCCCAGCACTAGCCACGACGTTCATATTCATTTAGAACACTTAAGTCGAATTTGTCTCTTATTGGAAAGTCAAGATTTACAGAGAGAAGGATACACAGAGAGAAAGATCTTCCATCTGCTGGCTTATTACTCAAGTGGCCACCATGGCCGGAACTAAGCTGTTCCAGAGCCAAGAGCCAGGAGCAGGGAGCTGGACGGGAGGTTGGAGTGGCTGGGATATGAACTGGTGTCCATATGGGATTCCGGCACACACTGGGATTCCATATGGGGTTTAGCTGCTAGGTTTTCGCACTGGGCTCGATTTAAGACATTTTTTTAAGAAGTTTTTTTTTTTTTTTTTTTTTTTTAAATCCTAATTTTACTGAGAGAAGGAGCAGAGCAGGGGAAGTCTTCAGCCCACTGGCTCACTCCCCAAGTGTCTAACAGCCAGAGCTGATCCCATGCAAAGCCAGGAGGTTCTGGTTTCTCACATGGACTTGAGTCATCTTCCACAACTCTGCTATTCCAGAAGCAGAGAGCTGTGTCAGGAATGGAGCTGCTGGGGCGAGAACCAGCGCCCGTATGTGAGGCCTAGCTGCAAGACAGAAAAGTAGCTTGTCGGGCCTGGCAGCGTGGCCTAGTGGCTAAAGTCCTCATCTTGAACATGGAAGATCTTCCTTTCTGTCTCTCCTCCTCTCTGTATATCTGACTTTGCAATACAAATAAATAAATCTTAAAAAAGGAAAAAAAAAAAAAGAAAAGTAGCTTGTTGAGGCACCATGCTGGCCCAAGGCATTTGTGGTAGATTTCATTTCTTAATGTGTGAAAATAAACAGTGCCAACTTTTTGTGTGTGTATGTGCATGTTTTTGCTATTTTGTTACATATTTTATTTAAGGCTTAACATTGTAGCCCAAGTTACCACATCATCTTTGGACTTTAGAGATTCTTGCAACCTGGGGTGTTTGTGGGGTCTTCCTCGGGGTGTGGGGGGGTTCCTGGGACAGCTCTTGGGCTGCTGTGCCCATGTTGTGGGAATGCCCAGCTGCGGCTGCTGTGAACTCCTGCCCGTGGCCTTGGCTCTGGAGCTGACCTTCGTCCTCTTCCTTCCCGACCTCAGAATCCGCCGCACTGCCTGGAGATCACCCCGCCGTCTTCTGAAAAGCTGGTCTCCGTGATGCGGCTGAGCGATCTTTCTACTGAAGATGACGACTCGGGCCACTGCAAAATGAACCACTACGATAAGAAGATTGACAGTCTAATGAATGCGGTTGGTTGCCTCAAGTCTGAGGTGAGGGGCGTAGGGCCTGGGCTGCCTAGTGCCCCCCCCAGATGTATGGATGCTCCAGCTGGGTGCCAGGTGGACCCTCTGCACAGGCCACGTCTCTGCTGTCCCCAGCAGGCTGCCCAGGTCTCCAGGTGCCTGCGTCTGCTGCCAGGGGTCCCCTCTGTGTAGTGTGCAGCTTGCCTGCAGCTGCCCGTGCCTGGCTTTTTCTCCCAGGAAATGAAGCTGGGGGAGTTGATGCTTGTTTGTGTGTGTCTATTATGCAGAGATGGCTTGATGGGGAAGTGGGCTCACATGTTCCATTTTACAGAAGCTCAACTGAGGCAAAGAGAGGATTGGAAACCAAATCCAAGGGTCTAAGGTCCCCCACCCAGGAAATGGATGTTTAAGTCCAGGTGTTGGCTGCTCATGTGATTTCAGTGTCTTGAGCACTCCCCTCCCTGTAGTACGGGTCCCAAAGTCCTTCCTGGAGCTCGCAGGGCTGGCTACCTGGCACCAGGCCCTCATACCCCACCTCTCTCATGGTGTGCCCACCGAGCCGTGTTTTGCTGTTGGGATCCGTTTCTAATCAGTGAGTCCCTCCGGCTCTTTCCACTCAGTTTCCTCTTCCCCAAAATGGAGAGGGTTCGCTTGTGATGGGTCCCCGAGGCCGCACTCAGACCAGCCTGGCTCAGGGCCCGTGGCTCCCAGCCTGATTGGTCCCACCGTGCCTAGCCCTGTGGCAGAGAAGAGCTTCCCCTCAGCAGCCCTGGTGCGCGTGCCTTGGTGCAGGTCAAGATGCAGAAGGGGGAGCGCCAGATGGCCAAGCGGTTTCTGGAAGAGCGCAAGGAGGAGCTGGAGGAGGTGGCCCACGAGCTGGCCGAGACCGAGCACGAGAACACGGTGCTGAGGCACAACATCGAGCGCATCAAGGAGGAGAAGGACTTCACCGTGTAAGCAGCAGCCCCCCTGCCGCGGCCAGCGCTCCTGCCGGGCCGCCCCGGGCCACCCCGGACACTGGCTCAGATCCCGTGCCCGAGCCTGGTGGCCTGTTTGGCACGGTCACACCCCCCACCACGGCCAGCGCTCCTGCCGGGCCGCCCCGGGCTGCCCCGGACACTGAGGGACAAGGAGCCTAGCAGTGCGGGGATGGAGTGGAGGAGGGGAAAAGGTGTCAGTGGAGATGAGCGGTGGGAGCAGCTCGTGGGAGGGCTCAGGGTGGAAGACGTTTGCTGCTGAGCGTGGACGGCAGGCCACAGCCAGTGAGCAGAGGGCGGGAGATGCCCCCGCACTGGTCAAGGGGCCTGGCTCTCACAGCCACTTTGAGCATTTGGAGTGGACTCAAGGGTTGCTGGGAGCCAGAGGAAGGCTTTTAAAGGCAGGAGAATGGTATGATCGGACGTGGCTCAGTGCGCGGAGTGGGTGGGAGGGTTCAGAAGCCGGTGACGAGACCGAGGGGAGCAGTGGTGGCCATGTGAGAGTGGAGCAGGGCTCTCCCAGGGGTGGAGGCTGCCATCTGCCCTCCGCCTTCCGGAAGTGTTGGTGCCCAAGGGATCATCCCCATCCCCTCCCCCATTGTTCCCAAGAAGACAAGAGGGGAAGCCCCAGAGGGCATTGTGAGGCGAGCCTCGGAGCTCTGGGTGGGCAGGGCCTGTTAGGGCTCACAGAGCCCTGTCTTCCTGGCCCCAGGCTTCAGAAGAAACACCTCCAGCAGGAGAAGGAGTGCCTCATGTCCAAACTGGTCGAGGCGGAAATGGATGGAGCCGCCGCCGCCAAGCAAGTCATGGCCCTGAAGGACACCATCGGCAAGCTGAAAACGGTAGGCAGCAACCAGCACCAGTGCCAGGGTGGGACTGGGCCCGGGGAGGGCACTGCTGCTGGCCAGGGTGGGGTCTTGACGCTGTCATCAGAAGGTCTTTGTGACATACCCAGGCTGCCTGAGGACCTGCCCTCCCTCCCCACCCCTCCTGCCTCTTTCACATCCTAGGCCTTGACCTTTGAACATGACCTGTGGTAGCCAGGGCCTCTAGGAGACCTCACGATGGGTCAGCAGGGATCACAGTGAGTCATGATTGATTCCTGCACGTCTTGGCCACCAGATGTCATCATCCTCGCCTCTGCCAAGGAGTCTGCCTTGACCACGCTCACCCACGCTCGGCTTTACTGCCCCGTTTTTCACCTCTTGCTCTTGGCAGGCTCAGCTCCTGCCAACCTTACAGGTCTGCCTCCTGAAAGTCTGCCCTTGGTTACCTCGGCCCTGGCTGCTGCCTGGCTCTTGTTGACTGGGCTTTCTGGCACCAGCACCCCCTGCTCTCCTACCTCTCCTCGTCCACCCTGGACCTTCTAAGGCTGCTTCCTTGTCTTCCAGGAAAAACAAATGACCTGCACGGACATCAACACCCTGACGAGGCAGAAGGAGCTTCTCCTGCAGAAGCTGAGCACATTCGAAGAGACCAACCGCACCCTTCGAGACCTGCTGAGGGAGCAGCACTGCAAAGAGGTGAGCTCTAGGCTGGACTGGCGCCCGGCCTCGGCGGGCCTGCCCCTTGGCCTCGCGCTCTGCTCTGAGAAGGTGGTGCTGCCGGTGCCTGGCCCGAGCCTGCCAGGCTGCAGAGATCCCTCCCTTTGCAAGTGCTTGGTGTCCTGTCGACAGGTGCCCTTGGGGTTGAAGCTGGGTGAGGCGACGCAGGAGGGATGGGTTGGGGGGAGCTTCAAGAGATGGGGAGGGGAAGGTGGATTCGGCCCATTCAGCGGTGTTGGAGCATGGGGCGGGGGAGGGGGTGAGTACCAGGCCTGAGGTTTGTTTGGCCAGAAGAATTAGTCGCTGGCAGGCAGGAATTTTGTGGTTACCACTTCGTTTTTGGGGTGGGCATTTGGCACAGGGATGTAGGTGCTGCCTGGGCTCCCCTGGCTGGGACTACCCACTCTGGTCCCACTTTTAGTCTCTGGCTGATGTGCAGCATGGGAGGCAGCAGGTGCTGGGTCAAGTCCCTGGGCCCCTCTACCCACTTGGGAGATTGAGCTTCTGTCCCAGCTCTGACTATTGTGGGCTTTTGAGGAGTGAACCTGTAAATGGAGGTCTTTGTCTCTCAGATAATTTTTTTTTTAAAGATTTATTTATTTTTATTGGAAAGGCGGATATACAGAGGAGGAGAGACAGAGAGGAGGATCTTCCATCAATGGTTTGCTCCCCAAGCAGCCAGAAAGGCTGGAGTTGAGCCAGTCCGAAGCCAGGAGCCAGGAGTTCTTCTGGGTCTCCCACGCGGGTGCAGGGTCCCAAGGCTTTGGGCCGTCCTCCACTGCTTTCCCAGGCCACAAGCAGGGAGCTGGACGGGAAGTGGGGCCGCTGGGATTCAACCAGTGTCCATATGGGATCCTGGCACTTGGAAGTGGAGGATTAACTAATTGAACTACTTCTGGACCCAAATTTTTTTAAAATAGAAAAAAACGTATTCTCTAAAATTTGTTAGTAACTGTTTTTACATTTATCTTTTCATTATTTTAAGTTGCTAAGTAAAAACCATGGTGTACAGCAAGGTGTTTTGAAATGTATGCACGTTGTGGAATATATATGTTACCTTACACGCTTGTTTTACCAGTGATGGTGGTGACTAAAATGTTTTTAAGTCTATGTTATCCCCAGGCTGTGGGAGTATATTATGGTGTCCAGGTTGAATAGAGCTCTTGAACTTGTTCCTTCTCCGTCTAAAACTGCATGTGCTTTGACTCGCATCACTCCAACGCTGCCACCCCAGGGTGCAGTCACAGCCGCTCTGCGCTGAGGATGCCACCCCAGCGTGCGTGTCACAGGGTTTGGCCTTCCTCTGTGCTTGGCTTATTTCATTTAGCGTAGTGTCCTCCCAGAGCACGCATGCTGTCACAGATGACAGGGTTTTCTTCCTTTCTCAAGCTGCATAGTGCTGTGTGGTGTGCAAATTCCACATTTCTCTATACCTTCACACGTTGGTGGTCACTTGGGTGGTTCCATATCTTGGCTGTTCTGGACAATAATGTTAGGTTAACACGTGCTGCTGAGAAGATGATGGCTTAAGTGGTGCTTCCTGTTGGTTCAAAGTGGAGGATTGCCAAGAGTTGGGCCTTCAAATGTCAGTGCTCAAGAAGTAACTTCCCTTTCTCTCTCTCCTTACTCCAGATACAGAAAAAAAAAATATTATCAATGTGGAAACAATAGTCTTACCCACTTTCCTGTAGCCCTTGACCCTTTGTGCCCTAATCAACTATGCAAAGATTAAGAGAATGAACCCCCCTCAAAAGTAACCTTAAGATATATTCATTTCTCTTTCTTTCTTTTCTTTCTTTCCTTCTTTCTTTCTTTCTTTCTTTCTTTCTTTCTTTCTTTCTTTCTTTCTTTCTTTCTTTCTTTCTTTCTTTCTTTCTTTCTTTCTTTCTTCTTTCTTTCTTTCTTTCTTTCTTTCTTTCTTTCTTTCTTTCTTTCTTTCTTTCTTTCTTTCTTTCTTTCTTTCTTTCTTCCTCTCTCTCCCTTCCTTCCTCCTTCCTTCTGTTTCTTTCTTTCCTTCCTTCCTTCTATTTTTCCCTTTTTTAAGATATACTTATTTCTGTTGGAAAGGCAGGTTTACAGAGAGGAGAGACAACACAGAAACATCTTCCATCTGCTAATTCACTCCCCAAATGACCACAAAGGCGAGAGCTGAGCCAATCCAGACCCAGGAGCTAGAAGCTTCCGCTCAGCCTCCCAGAGCAGTGGGCAACGAGAGGTTAGAAATGAAGGAGAGATGAAAGATGCAGTCTGTGGGGCCTGCACTGCCAGCGTCCCATCTGAGCACTGTCCACGTCCTGGCTGCACTGCTTCTCTCTAACTCTGGATTTCAGATAAATAATAGAAAAATTTAAACTTTTTAAAAATAATATTTATTTATTTTTATTGGAAAGTTAGATATGCATAGAGGAGGAGAGACAAAGAGGATGATCTTCTGTCCCATGATTCACTCCCCAAGTGACCGCAGCGTCACGGCTGGTGCTATACCAATCTAAAGCCAGGAGCCTGGAGCTTCTTCCGGGTCTCCCACCCCGGTGCAGGGTCCCAAGGCTTTGGGCCATCCTGTACTGCTTTCCCAGGCCACAAGCAGGGAGCTGGATGGGAAGTGGGGCTGCCAGGATTAGAACTGGCGACCATATGGGATCCTGGTGCGTTCAAGACGAGGACTTTAGCCGCTAGGCCATGCTGCCTGGCCCTAAACTTTTTTTTTTTAATTGTTGGAAAGGCAGAGTTATAGAGTGTGGAGGGAGAGACAGAAATGTTCCATCTTCTCATTCACTCCCCAATTAGCCACGACAACCACAGCTGAGCCGGCCTGAAGCTGGGGAGACGGGAGCTGCATTCAGGTCCCCCACCCCCCGCCCCCCAGACGCAATGGCCCAGATATCTGGGCCATCTTTTCTACCTACCCAGGGATATTAGCAGGGAGCTGGATTGGAAGTGGAGCATCTGGGATTTGAAATGGCATCCACATAGCGCATTGGCACTACAGCTTTGCCTACTGCACCATAGTGCTGTCCTCAATACACTTTTTTCCCCAAATCTCTCCCTTTATTCTCACCGATACATTTTTTTAATTCATTCATCTTCATTTGAATGGCAGATCTGCAGAAAAGAAGAGATCCTATATCTACTGGTCCACTCCCCAGATGGTTGCAATGGCTGGAACTGGGCCAGTCCAAAGCCAGAATCCTGGAGCTTCTTCTAGGTTTCCCACATGGATGCAGGTGCCAAAGGCCTTAGGCGGTCTTCCACTTCGTTAGGAGTACTAGCAGGGAGCTGGCTCAGAAGTGGAGCAGCCAGGACTAGAAGTGGTGCCCCAAATGGGATGCTGGCATTTATAGGCAGAGGATTAGTCTGTTGAGGCACCATGCCAGGTTCCCCACCCCTACAATAAATCTAAAAAAAATTTCTCTTAGTGACTTTGAGCTATCCGCTATGGTATTTAGTTAACTGTAGTCAGTGTGCTAAGCACCTTAAATGGTTGGACTATATGGCATGTTGAAAACTCCGTAACTTGATTTTCCTTCTTAAGGCCATCGCATTGGGCCCAAGACTGATTTTAAAAAGCCAAGTTGGGACCCAGGTGCCATGGTGTAGCAGCTAAAGTCCTTGCCTTGAACACGCTGGGATCCCATGTGGGCACCAGTTCTAATCCCGGCAGCCCCGCTTCCCATCTGGCTCCCTGCTTGTGGCCTATGAAAGCAGTGGAGCTCCAGGCTCCTGGCTTCGGATTGGCACAGCACTGGCTGTTATGGTCACTTGGGGAGAGAATCATCGGACAGAAGATCTTCCTCTCTGTCTCTCCTCCTCTTCTCTATATATCTGACTTTGCAATAAAAATAAAATAAATCTTAAAAAAAGAAAGCCAAGTTGTGCGTCTGGTGCTGATAATGCCACCGTCCCATATGGGCACAGGAAGAAGCTCCTGGCTCCTAGCTTTGGAGCGGCCCAGCCCGTCATTGCAGCCATTTGGAGAGTAAATCAACTGATGGAAATCTCTGTTACTTCTGTAACAGCCTTTCATATTTATAAATCTTTTTTTAAGAAACCAAGTTGAAATATGTAAATGCTTGTGTAGTTAGCAAATTTAGCCTTCCCAGCCCACACAGCTTCTCTAGGTGTGGCAGTGAGCAAGTGCATAGGGCCAGGGCAGTAAGTGCCCCATCAAACTGGTGACGGGGAACATGGTAGCTGTGGACAGGACTCTGTGGTCACTTACTGGTACTAATCTATCGTTGATAACATAGAGTTTGGAGAGGCATCAGCCGATGGCAGATGGCGGGATCTGTTGCTTAATGACCTCGCTTTCTCTCCCTCGCCGTCCCTTGAAGGATTCTGAGAGACTGATGGAACAACAAGGAGCACTACTGAAACGGCTGGCGGAGGCCGACTCGGAGAAAGCGGTAACAGCGGGACCCCTGCCCTGGCTGCCCGGGCTGGCTCCCCCACAGAGACCCGAGCGGGAGAACGGGACCCCTGCTCTGGCCTGGCTCTGACTCTCACTTCCCTGAGCTGTCGGGTGGCCTGGAGGCTCGTGGCATGTCTGTTTCTCTAGGCTTGAGGTCCATCACTTGCAAGCTAGGGGTCCAAAGCTGGACAGCGATGTCGGGGACTATAATGTTTATGTCCATGCTCGATGTGATGATGGACTTACAGATTCCCCAGGGTCTGAGAAACCCAGATTGCAGTATTTGCATCGTGACTTCAAAGTGGATACTTCATGACTCAGCAGTCCCAATTCTAGACTTTTCTAGAACATTCCAAAGACCATTACATAGATTCTAAGTTCTTCAAAGTGAAAACGAGAGCCCCCAAAAAATGAACACAGGGTGGTTCTATGTTCAGATAAACACAGGGAAGTCTTGGTGGGCTGGAATTGGTTAACAGGCTGCTTAACTTTGAGCCCTGTTGAGGCCTCGAGGAGTCTCCAGGAAGGTAGCTGCACAGTGTTCCAGCAGTGTGGCCAGCTGAGGGCCATCGAGGGAAGGGCTGAGCTGAGGGAGGAGTGGCAGCTGGGAGCTCCTGCATCCCCAGATGGTTGTGCCTCAGTAACCTGTGACATTAAATTCCTGTTTGAAGAGGTGCCAAATATTTAATCACATTTGGCGAATGTGAGCTTTTAGGCTAGGGAACAGCAAAACATGCTAATGACTGGACTGTTACTATAGTGGGCTTAGGTGGTTCTTTAGAGATTTTGATTGTTAATATTTTCTAAAAATAATACCATTTTTTGAAATTCCAAAATTCATGTTTGGTGTTTAAGAACAACATTTTGCAACACATAATGTTGAGTGCTTCCTACCTCTTGGTGGTGTGGGCCAGTGCATTTGGGACCCGGGCTTTTCTAAGTCTCTCCCTGGGCTGGGCCTCCTTGGCATCCCGAGCGGCCCATGACCATGTATGTTCTCTCGCAGCGCCTGCTGTTAATGCTGCAAGACAAGGACAAGGAGGTGGAAGAGCTCCTCCAGGAAATCCAGTGTGAGAAGGTACCGTCCCCAGCTCTGTGCCTTTGCACCTTGGAGCGTGGTGCGGCTGCAGAGAGCTGCTGCCATCACTACCCAGCTTCATCCCTTTGTCCGTCTCTCCAAAGGCCCAAGCCAAGACAGCATCTGAGCTCTCCAAGTCCATGGAGTCCATGCGTGGGCATCTGCAGGCACAGCTCCGGTGCAAAGAGGCTGAGAACAGTCGCCTATGCATGCAGATCAAGGTAGGAAGGCGTGCGGGTTGGCGAGCGGGAGGGCACGCAGGAGGGCAAGTGGGAGGCCTGGCCCTTGGCTGCAGGGATGCTGCCTGCCGGAGCACCAGGCAGAAGGGTTGGGTGCATGGCCAAGGCTCCTGGGGGTCAGGGGAAGTTACAGCTCTGCTGAGTGAATGGAGGTCCTGGAAGGACTCTGGGGAACTGTTCCCTAACGTCCAGACCCAGCCGGCTGAGAGGCCCAGGAGGGACCAGAGCCTTGCAGGCAGCATCCTGACCTGTTTTTCTCCCTCTCCCTCTCTCCCTCTGCCCTTTCCTCTCCTCCCTGGCCTTCCCTTCTCCCTGATTTTCTTGACTTTCCCCCCACTTCCTTCTCAGAACCTTGAGCGAAGTGGGAACCAGCACAAGGCAGAAGTGGAAGCCATCATGGAGCAGCTGAAGGAACTGAAGCAAAAGGGAGATCGAGACAAAGAGGCCTTGAAGAAGGCCATCCGAGCCCAGAAGGAGCGAGCCGAGAAGAGTGAGGAGTACGCTGAGCAGCTGCACGTGCAACTTGCCGACAAGGTGGCGGAGGGGTGGCCGGAGGGATGGGAGTTGTGGTGGCCAAGTAGGCACAGATGAAGGGCTGGGGCCATGAGAGTGGACAGCGACTAGGTGCAAGGATGGATGGCTGATGGCCTTGGGCAAGTGGACAGTGACTGTGTACACGGATGGAGGCTGAAGGTGGGGGCATGGCTGAGTAGGCAGTGACTGGGTGCACGGACAGAGGGCTGGTGGAGGTGGCTGAGTAGACACAGTGACTGGATAGAGTGTGTGGATGGAGGACTGGAGGTAGCAGGAAGTGTGGAGGCACTGGAAAGATGGCTGATTGGCGTTGGGGAAGAGACAGATGGGTAGGTGGGCTACTAGTGGGATTGTGTAGCTGCATCCACACATGAGTAGGAGTGGCAGCTCAGACTGCACGTGAGTGCTGGGAATCAGTCCAGCTGGCCCTACCACGGCTCCTGCTGTTCTCCAGAGAGGGGACGTGCAGTTAAGTTCAGGGTGCCAGAGAAAAGGGAGGTCTAGGACGTGCCCCGCCCCACCCTTGCAGCCTGGATGCTGGCTCAGGGCTGATGAGCCACTGTCTTGTGTCCCCAGGATCTTTATGTCGCTGAAGCTTTGTCCACTCTGGAGTCCTGGAGGAGCCGCTACAACCAGGTCGTGAAGGACAAGGGAGATCTCGAGCTGGAAATCATTGTCTTGAATGAGTACGTCTTTGTGTTGGTTAAGGAGCCAGTTGAGGGACTTGGGTGTGCAAGTGGAGGGGGCCTGGCCACCTGAGGTGGGCAGGGCACATGCTCCAAAGGGAGCCAGGATCCTGGGGCTCCCAGCCAGGGGCTGCTTGGGCTGACATGTGGGGTTGGAGCTGAGGTCCTACCCGGTGGCAGGGACGGGGAGGACCAGCTTTATTGGTCATGGAGGCCTGGTGCACTGTCCTCCTTGTCCCCGTGCTCAGAGAATGGGGAGCAGGTCATCCATCTTTTTTTTCGTCCTCCTAGTGACAAAAGCTGCTTTTGTTTTTTAGGATATATTTATTTCAAAGGCAAAGTTGCAAGTGTATAGAGAGGTCTTCACCCACTGATTCACTCCCCCAAATGGCTGTATTGGCCAGGGCATGGCAGGTTGGAGCCGGGAGCCAGGACCTCCATGTCTCCCATGTTGGAGACAGGGATCCAAGTGTCTGAGCTTTCACCTGTTGTCTCCAAGAATACTCTGGCAGAAAGCAGGTTTGGGAACAGAGCAATAGCCGAAATATGAAATGGCACTGTGAAATAGGATGGGATGTGGGTACCCTTGAGCAGTGGCTTAGCCTGCCATTCCACACACCTGCCCCAAGGGAGACGGCTGGACACGACATGAGGACAGCACAGCAGCAGTGTCATAAGGCCAGGTGGTCCCTTGTTCCTCTGCGCGAAGATAGGGCTTGAAGCAGGCAGTGTGCCAGGAGGCTGGGGCCTGGCCTGGGTAGGTGAACCTGGTCCCCGTCCCACAAAGACCTAGGCTCCTGAGAACCTGTGCAGTTGATTCTTCCCATGTGTGTTTACTTCAGCCGGGTGACAGATCTTGTCAACCAACAACAAACCCTGGAAGAGAAGATGCGGGAGGACAGGGACAGCCTGGTGGAAAGGCTGCACCGGCAGACAGCCGAGTATTCCGCGTTCAAGCTGGAGAACGAGAGGCTGAAGGTGCGCAGTGAGATCCGGGACTGGGCACTTGGTGGGTGAAGATAGGAGCCAGAGGGTCAGCAGAGGCTGGGGGCTGGGGTGATGCCGCTGGCACATGCTCTGGGCAGGAAGGCCTGGGTTCCTGATTCTGCCTCAGAATAGCTGAGGGCCTGGGCAGGACAGTACATCTTTTCTCTCTCTCTCTCTCTTTTTTTTTAATATCTTTTTTAATTGGAAAGTCAGATTTACAGAGAGAAGGAAAGATAGATCTTCCATCCACCAATTCACTCCCCAAGTGGCTGCAACGGCTGGAGCCGATCCAAAGCCAAGGTGCTGGAGCCTCCTCTGGGTCTCCCAAACGGGTACAGCGTCCCAAGGCTTTGGACTGTCCTTGACTGCTTTCCCAGGCCACAAACAGGGAGCTGGATGGGAAGTGGGGCTGCCGGGATTAGAACCGGCGCCCATATGGGATCCCAGCGCCTACAAGGTGAATTTAGCCACTAGGATACTGTGCTGGACCCAGGACATTGTGTGTCACGTTGCTGCTGTTTCCATAGCAGGAGGAAACAAGGTCTTTGAGCGGTGAATGCGTGGGAGGCGCTCATGGACACGCAGCCCCCACACTCGCGCGAGAGCTGACCCAGTGTTACTGCGCATTCTTCCTGGGGACTGCTGGCCCTGCAGTAATGCTGACACTGCCAGTGATCTGCTCATTGGGAAGCTGAGGTGTGTGTGAGAGCGAGGTCAGCTTTCTTAGCAAGATTTTGCCCAAGGCAGTGTTGGAGTTGGAATTTGAACTTGTGTTGGATTGTTGAGCTCTGGCTCTTATGGTCTCCTCATCACACACAAGGCAAGGGACACCTGGACCCTAGGGGTGACAGCTCAGAGACTGCGCACACAGGGCGAGGGGCACCTGGACCCTAGGGTGACAGAGACGCACAGGGCGAGGGCACGACCAGGGCAAGACAGCGCACACGAGGGCACTTGGACCTAGCGTGCAGAGACAGCGCACAGGCAAGACTTGACCTAGCGGTGACAGCTCAGAGACTGCGCACACAGGGCGAGGGGCACCTGGACCCTAGGGTGACAGAGACAGCGCACACAGGGCGAGGGGCACTTGGACCCTAGGGTGACAGAGACAGCGCACACAGGGCGAGGGGCACTTGGACTCTAGGGTGACAGAGACAGCGCACACAGGGTGAGGGGCACCTGGACCCTAGGGGTGACATCTCAGAAACAGGTTTGATATACTTACTGATTTCAGCAGAAACATTTAGCTTATTTTTTGGGAGGGGGGTTGTTAAAGTTCATTTACAATTTTCTTTTTTTTTTTTAAAGATTTATTTTTATTACAAAGTCAGATATACAGAGAGGACAGCCAGAGAGGAAGATCATCCATCCGATGGTTCACTCCCCAAGTGAGCGCAATGGCCGGTGCTGCGCTGATCTGAAGCCAGGAGCCAGGAACCTCTTCCGGGTCTCCCACGCGGGTGCAGGGTCCCATGGTTTAGGCCATCCTCTACTGCTTTCCAGGCCACAAGCAGGGAGCTGTATGGGAAGTGAAGGTGCCAGGATTAGAACCGGTGCCCATATGGGATCCTGGTGCGTTCAAGACGAGGACTTTAGCTGCTAGGCCACGCCACCGGGCCCCAAGATTTATTTTTAAAGGTAGATTTTACAGAAGGAGAAGGAGAGAGGTCTTCATCCGCTGGTTCACTCTCCAAGTGGCTGCGTGGCCAGAGCTGCGCTGATCCAAAGCCAGGAGCCAGGAGTTTCTTGTGGGTCTCCCACAGGAGTGCAGGGGCCTAAGAACTTGAGCCATCTTCCACTGGTTTTCCGAACCATTAGCAGGGAGCTGACTGGGAAGTAATGATGTGAATTGGTAACCATGTGTGATACCAGTGGTAGCAGATAGAGAATTAGCTTGCTATGTCACTTCGCTAGCTCCTCTTACTGAGCACTATTCTGATTTTTTTTTTAAAAAAGATTTATTTGAAAGGCAAGGTTAGGAGAAAGAGGATGATATTGAAAGAGTTGGGGCAGGGGATCTTCCATCTTATGGTTTTCTCCCCAAATGGCCACAACAGCTGGGGCTGGAACAGGTGAAGCCAGGATCCTGGAACTCCTTTTCATGGATGCAAGGACTTAAGTCCTAGGACTGTCTTCCACGGCTTTCCCAGGAACATTGGCAGAGTGCTGGATCAGAAGTGGGGCAAGCGGGATCCAAACCAGTGCCCAAATAGGATTCCAGTGTTGCACATGGTGGGCATAATAACTTGATGATCTTGGATTGGTGCACCTGTTTTTCATCCTGGCAGCTGTATTTGTGTAGTTGATACACTCTTGTGCCTGCCCCCACTCAGCAGGTGTTTGAGAGCCATCCCACTGTGTGCAGGGGCTCAGTGCTGCTCAGTGTGCCGTTAGTGAATACGCCAACGTAGTCCGTCTGAGGTAGACGCTTGGGTTGTATCTTTGTCTCTCTCTTGTTAAAGACATATTTTTGTTTATTCAAGAGGCAGTACTATTCCATCCATTGAGCTAAGAACTCCATCCGGGTCTTCCACATGGATGGGGAGGGTCTCAAGCACCAGGGCCATCCAGCAGTTTCCCCATCCTATTAGCAGGGAGGTGGATCAGAAGTAGTGTACTTAAGTTCTTTTTTAGCAGGTGTTAGCAAACAGTGAATTAGAAAACTTACACTTCCAACAGCGGTAGTTAAATTTACAGCTGCTCTGTTTCCTTGGCAACACGTGGTATTGTCAGTCTTTTTGGTGTGACGCATTGTGGTGGGAGTGTAATGGTAAAACTGAAGGAGATCAACTGGAAACGTGACGTCTACTGGGTGATTCCTCGTGTGACAGCTGTGTGATACAGTGACTTACACGGCACATTTACTGGCTTGACATTCACAGCCTGTAGTTCGTTTTAAAAGCATGTAAGGACAAATCAGAAGGCTGTTGCAAGCGCTGAGAGGAATGCCATAACTGCGCCTGCGGGGATGCCGTGTCCCGCCGGGCCTGGGCTGAAGATGAGTTTGACCTTCAGTTTTGTGAAGGCACACGCATGTTTTATAAGGAGAGACGGAAGTCACTGATGTGTGGCGCTCCTCGGTCGGGCTGGAGTTAGGAGTCTAGTCCAGTGCCTCTGGGTCTGAGAGGGCAGGGCGGGGGGCTTTCCTTTGCTGGCTGCTTGGAGGATAGCTGATCTGGGGAGGGGGCGTCTGAGCTGGTTGGTTACACAGGAGCCCCCACGCCCTTCCAGGCTAGCTTTGCCCCGATGGAGGACAAGCTCAACCAGGCGCACATTGAGGTCCAGCAGCTGAAAGCATCGGTGAAGAACTACGAGGGGATGATTGACAACTACAAGAGTCAGGTGGGCCTCCCGGCTGCCCCGGCCCCGCTCCGTCTGCCCCAGGAAGGGCCCCGTGTGCAGGGGGTTTCCCCCAGATCGGCCCTGCGCAGGCGCTCACTGTGACGTTGGTTTGCAGGTGATGAAGACAAGGTTGGAGGCTGACGAAGTGGCTGCCCAGCTCGAACGCTGCGACAAAGAGAACAAGATCCTGAAAGACGAGATGAACAAAGAGATCGAGGCGGTAAAGCTCTCATTCCTCCCCCCTCCCCCACCCAGTTCAGATGTCCCATTTAGTGTCTGGACCCGAGGGACAAAGATGGACTCTCTAGCATGTGTCTGCCCCCTCTCCCTTCTGCCATGCTGCTGCTTTATCCCTTTCTTAACCTACTGGCTTCTTCCTTTTTCACATTTCCTTGCAAAAGCACAGATGTGAGAACAAAAGCCCTTGCTACTTGGAGTGTCCAGGTGCGCTTGGATAGACCAGGTCTTTCGCTCTGCCCCTGTGCCTTTAAATGCCCCCTCCCCTTCCCGAAGAGATGATCTGCTGACCAACATACAGGGTCATCTTAACCTCGGACATGAGTTCAGTCCGGGCTCGGCCACTAACTTGTGTCATAACCTGGGGCAGTTCGCTGCCCCCTCAAGTACTCGGGCACCTCCGCTTCCTGCCCCAGCTAGGTACGAGGATGGACCAAGACCAGCGAGCTCTTACCTTTCCCGACTCGTGGCGTGGTGTTTGCCTTCCTGGGGATTTGGCGCATCACAAACTTCGATCTTGGCCATCCTAGTGCCTGAGCCTGAGCAGAGGGTTTCACGCCCTCGGACCTAAGTGTCCGTCCGTGGTGACAACAGCACCTGCTTCACAGGTTGTTGACTGAGTGAAAGAAGCAGTTGCAGGGAGCCCCTAGCAAGACGCTGGGCCACCCCCACCCCACCACCCCCACCCCTGTGTTTGTTGCATGACTGAATGAATGCCGAGACGAGGTTTGGCCAAAAGCGGGGCTGGCTGCTTGCTCAGAGGGCCACGAGGAGGCCGCGTTGGGCCCGTGGGCTTGACAGGCTTCTCTCTGGAGTACAGCAGCCCCACCCACCCCAGTAGACTGCCTATCCCCAGAGACGGCCGGGCCCTGCCCAACAGTGCCTTTCTCCTGCCTCTAGGCTCGTCGGCAGTTCCAGTCCCAGCTGGCTGACCTTCAGCAGCTGCCCGACATCCTCAAGATCACGGAGGCTAAGCTGGCCGAGTGCCAAGACCAGCTGCAGGGCTATGAGAGGAAGAACATTGACCTCACAGCCATCATATCAGACCTGCGCAGCCGGGTAAGGGACTGGCAGAAGGGGTCCCACGAACTGGCCCGAGCAGGGGCCCGCTTACCAAGATGAGCTGCACGCCCCCACCCCCCCACAAGGGAGGACCACTTTTTCTTGGCTGCTGCTTTCTGAAAGAAGTGAGCTATCATCAGTGCTGTGAAATAAAAGTCTGGTGTGCCAAATACCTTGCGTTTGCACCAAGTGATTGTAGTAATACGACTGCACTCTCCTGTGGCGCCATCGGGCCCTGCTCTTGTCCCTGCTTAGCGCTCACCTCTGCCCGCGTCCTCCAGCACACACCCACCACGTGTGCCCCTCTTCTCCACCTGTGTGCCCTGCTCTACCCGCCTCTCCTTCCTCTCCACAGATCTCCTGCCTGAGATTCTGCCCAGAAAGACAGAAGAGAAGCAAGTGTTTGCTTTTCCTGGATATCTGTGGTTAATGGGCATCATGGTGTCCACTTGTTGGCAGTGTGACCTTGGGCAAGGCCCTTCCCCTCTTGACCTGCTTCTTTGGAATAATGGAGGAATGTTACTTGTTTAGGGACTCCTCTGTGCTGCAGCATTCTCATTTCATTTCCTATTTTATTAAAAAAAAAAAAAGTAGCCCAAGGACATAGAGGGGAAGAAGTCATTTCCCAACGTCTCAGTGCTAATAATACCCCATGGGGGTCCAGACCTCCCAGCCCACTCAAGCTCCCATGTCCATGTTCTCATTACTCTTATCTCTAGACTGCCTCCTCCACTGGATCTGAGCATTGCCAAGAGCCCTTGAGGCTCTGAGGTCTGAGGCCTCTGGGTCACCTCTCCCATTCACCAGCCCATCCTGTTGCCTTTCTTGCACTTCCCCCAGTTAAGGGGCAGATGAACTTGCTGGTACCAACACCACCAGTCCCATGGACCACTTAAGGTCTCCTGTCCACTTGCGTCTTAACACCTGCCCCGCATCCCAGCTGGGCCTCTGAGTGACCACTCCTGGCCAAGAAAGCATCGCTGCGCTTCTTTAGCATCCCAGTCTGGATCTTCCTGGCATGGCAGTACCTTCTGTCTCTGCAACGCAGCTGCATGGCCTAACCCGTCCCTGCTCTCCTCTCTCCTCCAGGTTGCGTGTTGAGACCTGGACACCTGCTGAGGGCTGCACGCCTCTCTCCTGGGTGTGAATGACAGGTTACAGGGAGAAGGGAGGAGCAGCGTGGGAAATGCCTTCATAAACCAGTCTGTGTTCCTGTCATTTTAGATCGAACACCAGGGGGACAAGCTGGAGATGGCGAGAGAGAAACAGCAGGCCTCCCAGAAGGAAAATAAACAGCTGAGTCTGAAGGTGGATGAACTGGAGAGGTTAGAGACACTTGGTCCCATCTCTGTCCTCTCCCTAGGACCTGGAACTTTCAGCCACTTAGCTGCTTTGTGCTCAGTGTGCGGAAGTGTTTGAGGGACTCAAGGCCCCGCAAGGTACTAGGCAGACCTCAGAGGGAAAAGCTGCTCCCGCTGAAGTGGTAAGCATGGGCAGGAGCAGCAAGATAGAGTCCTGGCCTGGGTGGCACCCCACAACCGAGCGTGCAGGATCACCTCGCCGAGGCACACTTGGTCCCAGCCAGCCACGGGGCCTGTGGGAATGGAATGGCCAGGACACAGAGGTGCAGGGCATTGCCCCTCAGCCCTCCCAGCAGGACTTTTCTGAAGGACTCTTGTCTTTTCCTTAGGGCTTGTGAGAGGTCAAGAGTATACCCTCTTACCTGGCCTTGGCTGCCATCTCTGCTACTCTAAATCTACACTGGGCTTCGAGCAAACCATTTCCTTTGAACTTGAGTTTTCTCATCTTGAGAAAAGAAAAGGGTAACTCTTGCAGAAGAACTGTTGGTATTATTCTTGTAAAAGGCTTATTAGCACGTTTCTTGGCAGAAACTCCCTGGAAAGGTTTCTGTCTGTGAACTTGGGGGACAGGTTCACAGGTGATTCGGCCCAGGCCTCAGAGCCAGTACCTGGCAGAGCTGAGCGCCCCCCGACAGCTCACGTGAGCTCTGATTCCAGTCTTAGTTTCAGGATGGTCAGAAGCACCACATGGCCAGTACAGCCTCCAGGGAGGCCAGGGCCAGCTGGTCTGCTCCGCCCTGCTGACCCAGAAAGTACAGTTGTGCCAGGAAGACCTGTGCTATCCGAAACTGGAAGGCGTCTTGCCAGGGTGGTGGAGGATTGCAGGTACACTGGTCCGGCCATTTCTTTCCCATTGGCTGGTCACATAAGATGTTAGGTGGCCAACTGAGGTCCCTTTGCTGAGGGAGGTGGCAGTGACCAGCACAGGTGATGTGTCTGACTCAGTCCAGGGACTTCCCCCCTTGGAGATTTTGTTGTGCCATCTGGAAGTGGGTCAGTAGTGGTGGCGGCTTTGTGAGGTGCCAGCAGCTGTACTCCTTGACAGTATGCAACGCAGCGCAGCCAGTGCTTGCTCAGCCAGTGCTTGCTCTTCCTCTTACTGTCTTCCAGCCAGCGCTCCTGCCGCACGGTGCTGGGGAGCCTCGCCGATCTGCACGTCTCTCTGGTTTCTTTCCATGGTTTCCTGGAGATCTGTGATGTGATGACATCCCCCGGCCAGGAGTGGTGGCAGCTCCCTGGCCGGGAGGAGCAAGAGCAGTGGGGGCAGGTACAGGATCTGATTGGGTGCTCTTGCCTAGGAAACTGGAGGCGACCAGTGCCCAGAATATCGAGTTCCTACAGGTGATTGCCAAGAGGGAGGAGGCCATCCACCAGTCCCAGCTGCGCCTAGAAGAGAAAACAAGGGAATGTGGGTCCCTGGCGAGGCAGTTGGAGAGCGCTATTGAAGATGCCAGGAGGCAGGTCAGTCGCAAGCCTGTTACTAATGAGTTCTGTGACCTTGGGTAGATCGGGCAACCTCTCTGCGCGTATCTCCACCTGAGAAATGAACAGGCAGTAGTGCTAGCCTCATGGCTCTGTTGGAAGGATCAATGAGTCACTGTTTGTTGGAGAGGACAGGGTGATGACTCAGTGACTCGCTGCCTTTTTGGGACTCTGATCCATCAACTCAGTGTTGGGAAATGGTGGATGCAGCTGGTGGCAGGAGTGCCCTGGTTAACTCCTGCCCCTCAGGTGTCAGTCAGTACATACCCCACACTGCTGTGCAAATGTGTGGGGCCAGATGGCAGCAGTGGCTGGCTGGCCCTCCCCCTGCAAGGGCAGGTGTTCCACGGATGAGGTAAGCCAGCCCCCCACCCCTGTGCCTTCCATGCAGGTGGAACAAACCAAGGAGCAGGCGCTGTCTAAGGAGCGAGCAGCTCAGAGCAAAATCCTTGACCTTGAGACCCAGTTGAGTAGGACCAAAACGGAACTCAGCCAGCTGCGGAGGAGCCGTGATGATGTGAGTTGGCTGCGAGGGCCAGGAAAGTGTGGAGTAGGTGGGGGTCTTGGCTGCCCGTGGGCCGGCAGGGCAGCACATTCTGTCGTTTCAGGACTGGGACATGGTTTTAGTTTTATGCACTTCCCTCTTCCTTAAGGATATTCTAGCTTTTTTTTTTTTTCCCCTAAAATAGCTTTATAAGATACAATTTACATTCCAAAACTTTGTTATTCTTTAAATGAAACAATGTGGTAGATTTTAGTATATTCAGGGTAGTATAATTATCACAGTCTCAATTTTTAAAAACCCTTTTATTTATTTGAGAGAGAGAGAGAGTGCTCCCATCCACTGGTTCACTCTCTCAGATAACCCACAGCAACTTGCACTAAGCCAAGGCCAAGGCCACAAGGAGCTGAGAACTTAATCCAGGTCTCCCACGTGGCTGGCAAGGAGCTAGACACGTGAGCTGTCACCACTGCCTTTGAGGGTCCAGATGAGCAGGAAGCTAGAGTGGAACCCAGGCATTCTGACAGGATGGGTCACCTGAGCTGGTGACCTAACCTAAACACTTATTCCCCCCCTGAAAAAAGTGTATATATATATATATAACATATATATAATATTTTAAAAGATTCATTTATTTGAGAAGCAGAGTTACAGAGAGGGTGAGAAACAAAAATCTTTCATCTGCTGGGGTTGGGCCAAGCCAAAGCCAGGAGATCTCCCACATGGATGGCAGGGGACCAGCCTGGAAGTAGAATGGCCAGGACTGGCACACACATGGAATACTGCCATTGCAGGCAGCAGCTTCATCCACTTACAGCATATGACACTGGTCCCCCAGGGGTATCCCGACCAGTAGTGACTCCCTGTCCCCCTCTACTATCCCCTGACAGCCACTAAAAACATCCCCGTGCATCTGGGTTTGTCTGTCGTGGACTCCTCAGCGACTCACCCATCTGCTCCTTCTCTTAGGCGGACCGCCGCTACCAGAGCCGGCTGCAGGACCTGAAAGACCGCCTGGAGCAGTCGGAGGGCACCAACCGCAGCATGCAGAACTACGTCCAGTTCCTCAAGTCATCCTACGCCAACGTGTTTGGGGATGGGCCTTATAGCACCTTTCTGACCAGCTCCCCCATCCGCTCCCGGTCGCCTCCTGCCTGAGGTGCTTGATGCCATGGCAACCCGTGGAGTTGTCAAGCCTGGAGCGGAAGCTTATTCCTCTTTCTCGCTGCCCTTGAGAAGGCGAGTTCAGGATCTTGTCCTTAGCACTTGGTTTGCTCCCCTCTGATGACAGACAGTTGTCAGATGGGAGTTTCAGTCATCTTGGCAGGTGTTAAATTAGCACTAGGTATAGGTACCAGAATGGAGCTATGGTGGCAGGGCCGGGATGTTCTTCTCCCAACAGGACATCTGGCCTGGACCTTCTCCTTCGGCTCTCTCAGCTCCCATCTTTTCAGGAATCTCTCTGAAGCAGCAGGAGCCCTCCCAGGTCGTGAGCCTCTCTGCTGTCTTCCTCCCTCTCTGATGTGGGTCGTCTTTGAGGCTCCCGTCTCAAGTTTAGTGGGAGGCTGGCTTGTGCCAGCTCACCTGCCCAAAGCGCTTCCCCACGGTCCTGTGAGGGCTGGCGTCCCTTTGGCCCGGTGCAGGTGTCGTCCCAACTTCACTTTTTTTTTTGCCTGGTTTGTTTCTCGGGGGTGCATTTATTCTTGAAGTATTTGTATGGTTTTACAAAATGCTTTTTATAATCAGTTGTTTTATGGCTCCATTGGATGATTTTTTAAAATCCCAATCCCTTTTCTAAAAATAAAATTCTGTAAGAGCTAGTCAATGGTTTTCAGGTGTTCGCTGCATTACTCTGCTTCAAACAGATCCCTGTAATGATGCATGTGTATTACCTTTTTTTAATATATATATATTTATGTACTTATTTGACAAGGTAAAAGAACAGAGAGAGATTGCCCATATGCTGTTTCACTCCCCAAATGGCGGCAGTGGGTAGGGGTGGGCCAGGCTGAAGCCACAATTCTGGCGCTCCATGCAGGCTCTCCCCCGGGGTGGCAGGGGTCCTGCTGCCTTCCAGGCACATTAGCAGGGAGCTGGATCGGAAACAGACCACCAGGCAGGGCTTGAACTGGCGATCCTATATGGAATGCCAGTGTTGCAAACTGTGCCACACAGCAGGTCTGATGGGTCTTTTTTTATTTCTAAGATGTCAACTGTTCTCTCGACTGTTAACATTGTGGTCTATTTTTGTTGACGTCTTTCTGTCTTTATAAGAACAAAGTCAGGCCCATGCAATAGCCTAGTGGCTAAAGTCCTTGTCTTCCATGTGCCGGGAACCCATGTGGGCGCTGGTTCTAATCCCAGCAGCCCTGCTTCCCATCCAGCCTGTGGCCTGGGAAAGCAGTGGAGGACGGTCTAAAGCCTTGGGACCCTGCATCCATGTGGGAGACCCAGAAGAAGCTCCTGGCTTCGGACTGGCACATGCCCACTCTGTCCACTAGATTTTTCAGGACATTTGTAGTTTCTCTAGACAATTTCTCTTGGGCAAATCATCACAAAATTGGCCATATGCACACAAACTTGATGTAAAGGGATCTGAATTTTACATTTTATTTATTTATTTTAAAGATTTCTTTTTATTGGAAAGGCGGATATATACAGAGAGGAGGAGAGACAGAGAGGAAGATCTTCCGTCCGATGATTCACTCCCCAAGTGAGCCAAGCCAGGAACCTCCTCCAGGTCTCCCACGCGGGTGCAGGGTCCCAAAGCCCTGGGCCGTCCTCGACTGCTTTCCCAGGCCACAGAAAGGGAGCTGGAAGGGAAGCGGGGCTGCCAGGATTAGAACCAGCGCCTACATGGGTTCCCGGGCGTGCAAGGCGAGGACCTTAACCACTGCGCCATCGAGGCAGTCCCTGAATTTCACATTTTAAACAGGACTTTCCTTACAGAGGACACTTGACAAACTTTATTATAACAGCGTGTTTTTTAATCCGTGAAAAACCTGTAGGGTGTATTGCTGGGGCTTGGTGCTATTATGTTGTTTATTTCTAAGGGTTAGAAAAAGTTCTGGGAGGGGAGTTGTCAAAACGTTTGTATGGCTTTCACTCCAGAAAGAACCCTGTTTACCTCAGAGATCCTGTGACATGAGGGCACAATAGAGCCAGCAGGCAACGCGGGGCTATATTAGACTGGGAGATAACGCCAAGGCCGTAAGAACCCCCATTCGCTATGTAAAGTCTTTTAGTCTGTCCACCCACCCGTGGATCTGTCTGTCGCTCATTTTTCGCCCGGCTGGAAGAGAAATGCCAGACGCTGCTGTGACCGAGTCTCTGGTCGCGGGGTGGTGGGGAGACGCTCCGGGGTGCGCCCTTTGTGGCGGCGGCTTCAGCAGGAACTGCCGGGTCCAAGGGGAGCCGCGCTCGGCGCTCCGAGGGCTCCAGCGCCCGCGCGCGCCCCACCGCCAACGGGCCCAGCACGCAGGCGCGCCTCCGAGGTCCGGTTCACGCGCAGGCGCGCTCCCGAGGTCCAGCCTCACGCGCAGGCGCGGGGGCGGGGGCGTGCCCTCGGAGGCGGGGCGCGCTCCGCCGTTCGCAAAGGGCTGCGTGCCCCGGAAGCGGAAGCTGCGCTCCCTTTGTCATTGTCTGATTGGAGCGTAGTTTGGTGTCCCCTCGCGCGAATCATGCCGTCCGAGCGCCGCTGCTGGGAGACCTTGGAGGCGCTGCGCAGCTCCAGCAAAGGGCGCCTGTGCTACCACCGCGACTGGCTGCTGCGGGGCGAGGTGAGCCCTGCCGCGTCCGGAGCGGGCTCGTCCCTGGGCCGGGGCCGCCGCCCTCAGGCCGCTCGCGAGGGGTGGGTGGGTGTTGGGGGGCGGTGACTGCGCCCCGTCTCGGTGTGTGTGTGTGTGTGTGTGTGTGTGTGTGTGTTGGGGGGTGGTGACTGTGCCCCGTCTGGGGTGTGTGTGTGTGTGTGTGTGTTGGGGGGCGGTGACTGCGCCCCGTCTGGGGTGTGTGTGTGTGTTTTGGGGGGCGGTGACTGTGCCCATCTCGTCGTGTGTGTGTTTGTGTGTGTTGGTGGGGTGGTGCTGTGTCCACTCTCGGTGTGGTGTGTGTTGGGGGGTGGTGCTGTGTCCAGTCTCGGTGTGTGTGTGCTGGGGAGCGGTGACTGCGCCCCGTCTCGGGGTGTGTGTGTGTGTGTGTGTGTGTGTTTGTGTTGGGGGGCGGTGACTGTGCCCATCTCGGTGTGTTTGTGTGTGTTGGGGGGCGGTGACTGTGCCCATCTCGGTGTGTGTTTGTGTGTTTTGGGGGGCGGTGACTGCGCCCCGTCTCGGGGTGTGTGTGTGTGTGTGTGTGTTGGGGGGCGGTGACTGTGCCCATCTCGGTGTGTTTGTGTGTGTTGGGGGGCGGTGACTGTGCCCATCTCGGTGTGTTTGTGTGTGTTGGGAGGCGGTGACTGTGCCCATCTCGGGGTGTGTGTGTGTGTTGGGGGGCGGTGACCGCGCCCTGTCTCTTGGTGAGGGCACTTGCCGGTGACTCTGGCCAGATAGGACAGGGAGGGGTGGGGGGCCTCGCTCTTGTAGGGTTGGAAGGCTGTAGGTTGGCTACCTGACCTGGGCCTGGGGTGTCTTCCCTTCATGGTGGGCAGCGCTCTGCAGCTCTGCTGGCATCATGACCATCCGAGGTCAACTCTTGCCCGAGTCCTTCATCCGCTGTGTTTGCTTTCTGCCACCATTGCTTTCTGTTGCTTTCTTTTTTTTTTTTTTTTTTAATAATCTTAGTTTATTAGGGTACAAAGGGTCACGGGCTACAGGGTGAAAGTGGGTAATATCATTGTTTCCACACTAATATAATCATTTTGCCCTGTATCTAGGGTTAGGGGAGTAACAAAGGGGAAAGCCCCACCCTACCTCCCACTCATCCCCGATCCCCAACATGAGGCGCGCTCCAAGGGTCCTGCTCATACAGTTTTGATAGTTCAATCAGTTCTGGATTGCTGCCAATCTCTCCGTCCCAACCGTAATGAAACCTATTCAGAGTCTACTGGCTGACAGTCTCTTGATGGTTGGGGTTCCAAGATCAGCAGTTCAGTTCGAGAAATATCCAAAGAAACTTCATCTGAGTTGATCCCAGATCTGATTCTTGAGTGAGTTTGCTAGTACAGACTCCAACACTGTTCGTCACACCAATCAGCTTATGCATATGCTGGTCGTTGCGATTGCTGGGTCCGTTCGGCTTCCAGCCCTGTCTTCCTTGTGAACCAATGGGTGTTGTAGTCCAGCTCGATTCTACCCACTTCATACTCGGTCTTCATGCAAACCAGTTGGAGCTACAGCCTAGTTGGGGCGACTCCCCAAAACCCCTACCAGTTCTGCCCCCTACCCTGGTTCCCATGCTTGCCAGTATGCACTGCAGGCTTGTCCAGTCTGTCCCACATCCCAATTAGCTCTCGCACACGTCAATGGACGTTGAAGCCTGGTTCAACCCAACCAACCTATTATCCAGCCCATACACCCACTGGCAGGTGCCTTTCTGTCAAGCCACCCCTGCTCCTAGCCTGGGTTTCATGCTGTCCAGTGAGGGTGGTAACCCTGAGGGAGGTGCCCACTATTTCCCTACTAGGTCACACCCACTCCCAGAGTATGCCGTCTCCAGGTAGTTTTGGCATTTGACTTGTCAGAATTGGCTCCTAGTACCAGCCTCTGCCAGCTAACGCTGTGGCTAAGCCCAAACACCCCTCAACCCACTCTAATTTTAACTTGCACCAGTCAGAACAGTCAGCTCACCGTGAGGCCCACAGGTGCTATAGCCCTGCCTAGTCTGAACTGCCCCCATCCGTATTCACACTTTCCAATGGAAGTAGTTATCCAGCAGGGGTGCCCACGTTCCCCTGTTGGCTTTGCCTCCTCCCTGATTGTCACATGTGCTGTTTGTGTGCTGCAGCCACATCTGGTACGGCTCATCTCACCTTGGCATTACTTGTTGTGTACTGGTATGTGTTGCAACCGAACCTGGCTCGGCCCACACTCTGTTCTGGTGCTCGGATTCACCAGAAGGTAATGTGAACAGATTCAGGCTGGTCTGCCCCCAACCCATGCCATGTGTATGCCAGTGGGATAATTTTCATTGCCTGTTCTGGGTTGTTCCCTATTGTGCTTCTTGCGCTTACCTGCATGGGACTGTGTCCTGCCAGAGAAGTTGCCCAGGCTCCTCCACCAGAACCTCTCCCAATGCCAGTTTTCGCGCATACCAGTGGGTCCATGAGCCAGCACTACTCAGTTCGCCTGCTATCCTAGGAGGAACAGTGGCTTTTCCTGCCTGGCCTCCGACCCAAGCTGGTTCTTGTTGTTGGATATTTCAACCCATCCATGGCTCTTCCATACCCCTACCCAGCTCACACATGGTTCAGTAAGGGCTGAGACCTAACCTAGTCTGTCACACAACCCTCCCCGGTCCTCCAGAGCACCAGATGGTGTTGGAATTTGGCCTGGCTTGGTGCTTCCCATCCCAGTCCACAATTGTGCCAAGTGAGATTACGATCGTATCCTGATCAGAATGTAGCCTCAGTTCCAGCCCATGCGCTCCTTGGTGGGAAACTCAACCCAGCTAGGGTGTCCCGTTGTTGCCCCAACTGGGCCTCTTCCCTGCCATAGAGCAGGTGTAGGCCGGTGGTTGTTCTGTCTCCGCTTGGCAGAGCCCCTCACTTGTCCTGGCCCCTTGGATGCTGTGGCTTAGTGCCTCTGCCTCACACAGATCAGTATGTGCAAGGACCTACCTGGCATGAGCTGTGCTCCAACCTGATTTCTGTTGTTACTTGTGAGTTAAGGTTTGTTCAGCCCTGCCCATTCTGCCCCCTTCCAGTGGCAGCCCGGCCCACCCCACATCTTGTTTAAAGATGCACATTTGGGTGCTGCTGCCTTGACCTACCCTGACTGTTGTGGATTCCTTTACCCATGAGTGATGGCAGATGGCGTGGTCACACCTAGCTTAGACCATTGCAACCCCAGCTTGGGAACTAACCCGGGGGACTTGTATTCCAAAGGGTTAGGCCCACACAACCCCACAGAGCCTACCCCCAGCCCAAGTTCTCTTGTGTGCTGGAGAGTGTCTTGATCCTGCCAAATGTGACCACTCCACAACTCCAACACTCAGTCGGGCAATGGTACCCAACACTGCCAAAGAGGCCCCCATCCATAGCTTCGGTGTGGGCTAGTATGTGGTGATCAGTGATGTTCTATACTAATATCCCATCTCTGAATTCATAATTGAGCTGTTGCATCTGTCTTACTAAAATTATCTTCTGGACACTTCCCCCAAACCACTAGGTCTTGGTCCCCATGCCTGCTTAAATCTTTCATGACCCTGTCACTGAGAATACCCGAAAATTCACTTTGCACCTACATTCAACCTAGTCTTAGTCATGAGTGACCCAGGCAGCAACTACATATCTTGAAAACCCCAGAGTTTGCCCTTCTGGGCGGCCAGCAGGCAATGCCTGGCACCATGTGGTGCACTGGCCGCCCTGGGGGAGGCCGAGGACTCGTTCACTGCCTTGTGGCAGTGTCTTTGGCGTGAGTCCCCCGCATTGGGTCCGACCCGGCAGGGGCACCCCCCACAGTAGCCACACTGCAGGGAGCGTCAGTTGCCCCAGAGCCCAAGGACCGAACTCCTCCCAAACTCCCCCAGCCGCATGGTCTTAGCAGCTGGGCGGAGCTAGGAATCGCTTTCTGTTGCTTTCGTGCTGGAAGTTGACTTTTGCCAGGAATTGGTTGGGACTTGGGTTGATGTGGCTAAGTTGGAAACTCAGTATAGTTGTGGTGTTGGGGCTGGGACCCTAGGGGAGGGGATTTTACTGCTTGCCATTCTAAAGATTATTTTGACTTGAAAGAGTTTCACAAACACAGGGGGGTGAAGAGAGATAGGTTACATCAGCATGGACTGATTCACGCCCCAAGTAGCGATGATGGCTGGAGCTGAGCCATTTTGAAGCCAGGAGCCCAGAGCCTCCTCTGGGTCTCCCACGCGGGTGCAGGGTCCCAAGGCCTTAGGCTGTCCTCCACTGCTTTCCACAAAGAATAATAAACAAACAAACAAACAAATAAATAAATACATAGATGTAGATGCGCAGCTGTCCTGTTTCTTGCTGTGCGGTACCTTAGGGCCCCACCAGCATGAAAGCTGTCACTTGAATGGAACTCTAACCCAAGGTATATCTCTTTCCTCCATAAAGCTAGACTCTCCCAGTTAACTTGTTACAATACAAAGCAAACTGGTTGCTTTATTTTCTCCCTGGTTAAAGTATTTGTGTCAGTATAGTCTCGTGGGTTCTAATTTTATTTAGTGGGAAGCTTTTTTTTTTTTTTCTCTCCTGAAGTATTTTTTTGAGAGGGTGACGGTGAGCGACAGATCTTGCATCTGCTGCTCCCCTTTCTGTATGCCTGCAAGAGCCGGGACTGGGCTAGGCTGAAGCCAGAAGCTGCAGACTCCATCCGAATCTCCTATGGGGTTGGCAGGAACCCTGATCCCCCAGCCTCAGGCACTCAGAAGGTGTGTGTGACCCCAGTGGGGCCTTTTTTGTGCCACAAAGCTGCAGGTGCTCCCCATCCCCATCCTGGCTGTATTTCATTTGATCCCAGATGTAAGTGGGATAATTGGGCTGTTAGTTCCCTTTGGTGTGTTTGGTAAAAACAAGAAGGCATCCCAGAAATGAAGTGCCTTTCTTGCTGGCCCCACCGTGGAAGCAGTTGCATGTCCCACCCAAGCGTTTCAAATGGAGGGTGATGTTCACACACCTGCAGCTGACTATGCTCATTATTGCTTTAGGGTCTTCTCAGGCTGAACTTGGAAATTGTGTGTATGTGTGGATACACAGCTGTGAGCACACACAGTAATGTATATATTAATATTCGAATATTGGTTTATGGGGCCAGCCTTGTGGCACAGTGGGCTAAGCCATCACTGGTCGCCTGTTCTCAAATCCAGAGCTGCTAAGTGGAATCCTCCATGGCAAGTCAAGGGGTGGGGGATCTTGTCCTGCCGCACCTCCTGCCCTTCCCAGGCAGTGAAGGGTGCCTCTTCCTGCTCAGCTCTGGTGCCCACCTTTTCTGCCAGGATTCTCTCTCTTTTTCTCTCTCTTTTTTTAAAGATCTATTTTTATTGTAAAGTCAGATATACCGAGAGAAGGAGAGAGAAGAAGATCTTCTGTCTGATGATTCACTCCCCCAGGTGATCGCAGTGGCCAGAGCTGAGCCAATCCAAAGCCAGGAGCCAGGAACTTCCTCCAGGTCTCCCACTCAAGTGCAGTGTCCCAAGGATCCCATAAGGGATCTTGGCACATTCAAGGTGAGGACTTTAGCTGCTAGACCATCATGCCAGGCCAAATAAGTAAATCTTTTTAAAACATTACTTAGGGCCTGGCGCCCTCCTCTCTATGTATATCTGACTTTGCAATAAAAATAAATGAATCTTAAAAAAAAAAAAAAACACTTAGGTGAGTTCTACCACCCTCCCACGGCCTGCCAGTATGATTATTTTATTCATTGGTTTTTATTTGAATTTCACTTAAGGTTTCATTCTCTCTCCCTTTATTGATTTTTATATTTTAAATATGTGAAGCATTAATAAGATTGTAAAATCAAGGGACTGGTGTTGTGGCATAGTAGATAAAGCCTCTGCCTGTGATCCTAGCATCCCATATAGAGATCAGTTTGTGTCCCAGATGCGTCATTTCTCTTCCTGCTTACTGCTAATGATGCAGGCGTGTGGGCCCCTGTCCCAGCCTGGGAGACCTGGGTGAAAAAGCTAGACTGATTTAGCCTGGCTCGGCCCTGGCTTTTGTGGCCGTCTGGAGTGTGAACCAGTGGGCAGATGCATCTGTTTCTGCCTTTTTCACTTTGTGGCTTTCAGATACAGACATACATCTTTATACACACACACAAATCGGGGACCAGGTTTGTAGTGCAGTAGATTGAGCTGTTGTTTGCAATGCCAGCATCCCATACAGGAGTGGTGGCTCAAGCCTTTTTTTGTTTTGTTTTGTTTGTTCTGTTTTGTTTTTTCCAGAGCTGACCAGGTCCATTAATCCTTAGTTGTAAAAGTCCCACATCGTGTTGCAGCCTCTGGTGGCAATAACTTAGAAGTCAGTCTGGAGCTTTCGTCTTGGTCTCTCTTAGATATTTCCCCACCCCACTCAGTGTGGGTTCAAATTTTGATCGCTCCTTTTCCAATCCAGTGCTCTGCTAGTACTCCTGGGAAAGCAGCTAGAAGATGGTCCAAATTCTTGGACCACATCTGAAACTCAAATGGACTTCCTGGCTCCTGGCCGGGCCCAGCTTGAGCTGTTGTGGTCATTTGGGGAGTGAGCCAACAGCTAGCTGCAAAAGCCCTATCTTCCTGTTATTCTGCCTTTCAGGTAAATAACTTTAATTGGAAAAATTTACAGGGAGGAGGAGAGACAGAGGAATATCTTCTGTCCAATGATTCACTCACTAGCCTCAACAGCTGGAGATGAGCCAATCCGGAGCCAGGAACATCTTCCGGGTCTCCCATGTGGGGGCAGGGTCCTAAAGCATTGGGCTGTCCTCAACTGCTTTCCCAGGCCACAAGCAGGGAGCTGGATGGGAAATGGAGCAGCTGGGATTAGAACCGGTGCCCATATGGGATCCTGGTGCGTTCAAGGCGAAGACTTTAGCTGCTAAGCCACGCCGCCAGGCCCTCTCCCCTCCAGTCTTAAAAATATGGAACACTTCATGAATGTGTGTGTCATCCTTGCACTGGGGCCATGCTAATCTCTGTACTGTTCCAATTTTAGTATATGAGCTGCCAATCTTCTGTGTAGTTCCAATTTTAGTATATGTGCTGGTGAAGCGAGCACCCCTGGCCTGTATTTTTCGATGACTAATATTCCGCTGATTGTATATTTTATAGTTTCCTTAAATTTCTTCCATGTTCCAATCTGTTCTAATGTTTAGATTGCTTTCAAATTTGCTTTAATGATATCCTTTGTGCCTTGTTCATATATTAGGCAAGAATCTATGGAGAACAAATTGGTGAGAGAGAGTGTGTATGTGTGCATTTTTGGAGGGTGGTTATAGCTACTCGGAGAAGCACTTAATTAGGAGACTTGGCTCACACATTCATGGCAACTAAGGAGTCATGTGCCATGTTATTGGCAGCTTAGAGATTCTGGGATGCTGGTAGTATGGTCAGCCCTGCCTCAAAAGAGCCAATATGAGAGCTGTCAGCTCAGGCCTGCAAGTCCCAGACCAGCAAGGAGCCCTTGTGGCAAATCCAAAAGTCCCAGGCCAGTAAAGGGCCATGGTGGCAAGTTCGGAAGTCCCAGGCCAGCAAGGGGCCCTGGTGCAAAATCCTCATGTCCCAGGCCTGCAAGGGACCCTGGTAGGATGTCCCAAGCCAGCAAGGCCAGGGCTCTGAGGTCCAGGGTAGGAGCTACAGTCCCTGCTTTCAGAGTGGGAGACCAGTTTGCCCTCTGCAGTGACTGTCCCCAGAGCCTCACACTATATCCTCTGATGCCTCGGCTTCTTGTCACCTTGTTCTCCTCAACTCATGCAGTGTCATCTGAAAACACCCTTAGAGACTGACTTGAAATAGAACTTGACCGGATTTGTAAATGTTCATCATCCAGTCAGCTTGACTCCCACATTCCCCCATTGCAGTTGTCACTTCTGTAGTTAGTTATTTGGCCTGATGGTCCTTTTAATATTTATTTATTTTAAAATTTTATTTTTGTTTTTATTTTTGATGTTGCTCACATAGTTCACAAGAATGCAGGCCTATGAGGACCATCAAGTAGGGTGGGGAGAGTTGCTATGGAGGTGGATGGGGCAGCTGCTTCCAATTTTCCTCCTCTTCCCTTTTCTCCTGTATGGGGTGGAGGGCAGGGGAGGTAGAGAGGTCTGCTGCCTAACAGAATCAAGTCCCAGGATGGGGATGTCCGGTTGATGTCATCTTGGAACCCCCGAAGTGGAGACAAATGTTCCAAGGATATTGCTTGAGTAGTGTTGAGTTCTGAGACACTATTAGTTTTGTTGCTTCAAGGTTGAGAAAATCCTTCCGAGGTCCACTGGCTTCACGCATGCACCTCGGCATGCCGTCCACTGCACAGACATCAGCAGCCGAGGGGACCCAGTCCCGAAACAGGCATTCCAAGGCCAGATTACAAATTCTAGGGTTTTCCATGTGGCTGAAATTGGAAGTCCAGTGGTCCAGTTGTGGATTCCCCTAAGAAACCACACCTTGCATGACCCCAGACCTGACTCTTGCTTGTGCCAGCCAGTAAGGTCCAGTTCAGTCTGTCATCATATCAGCCTGTGTACATACTGGTGTCCCATGCAAACCGACAAGTGTTTCTGCCAAGTCCAGCCCAGCGTGTCGCAGACTTAGAGCTTGCACACACCAGGGAGAAATGCAGCCTAGTTGGGGTGACCACCAATAAACCCCACCACGTCTGATCCAGCCCTGGTTCCTGCACATGCCAGTATGTTCAGCAGACTGTTCCAATAGAGCCGCATCCCTGTCAGGCTCTCACATACACCTATGGATGTTGCAGCTTAGCTCAGCTCACTGCACCCCACAAACCAGTCTCCATGTATGCTGACAGGTGCCGCCACCTTGTTCAGTCTGACCTGCCCCCAACCCTCTCTCTCATGCCTGTCAACAGGAGCTGTAGCCCAGTGCCCACAATTTCCCTACTAGATCGAGTCCCGTTCCTGGATCTTGCACTTTCCAGGGAGTATTGTGATCCAGTCTGACACAGTTTGCACCTGACACTTGCTAATGGATGCTGCAGGAAAGTTGGTCATTCGGCACTTAATCCTGGCCCTTGCCTGCACCAGCAGATGTAATGATCTGGCCAAGCCCGGCCTTCCCACAAACCCAGCTCATATTCAGGCCTGTGGTTTTTAGAGCCCTGTGTCCCCCAGTCCCAGTTCTCATGCTCACCAGTAGGAGAGGTGGCCAAGCAGGGAAGTCCCCAAAGCCCCCCAAACAGGTTCACTCCTGGCCTGGGGTCTTGCATGTGCTGATGGGTGCTGTGGCTCAGTCTGGCATGGCCCATCTCACCTTGGCATTCGCCAGGAGGTGCTGCAGCTTAGCTCTGCCTAGCCAGCTACCAGTCTTGACCTGCCTCCCATCCTGACTCTCACACCTGCTCATAGGTTTTGCAGACTAGCCCAGCCTGGCCCACTTCTAGACCTGACCCGTATGTATGCAAACAGGTACTGTAGCCCAGCCTGAACTGGACTGCCCAGTTGTGGCTGTGTCTCAACAGGGGAGCTCCTCAAGCTCTCCTCTCAGATCAGTTCCCAGTCATAGCTTTCATACACACTGGTGGGTGTTGAGCTCAGCCTGACTTGGCACACTCCAATCCCAACCATCACTATTCCTTTGAGTCTTTGGATTGTTTCCTTCAGTAAGACATGCAGTGGATTGTGCCAGGTCGGTTGACAAGTGAGTTGGCCTTGACCCTCTGCTTCTCTGTAGGATGTGTTGGAAGAATGCATATCTCGTCCCAAGCTGTCGACTTACTCTGGATGGGTGGTTGACCATGTCCTGCCCTACGTGCATGAGGACGCACCCGCCTCAGAGACGTCTCTGTCCTCGGGGTCTTCCTCCGGCCTAGACCAGCCCCTGCCCGATTCCAGGTCATTCCCATCGACATCCCCCACCACACCAAATGGGGTCAAGGTAAGGTTTGGGTCAGCTTCAGGCAAGGGCACAGGACCTGTAGAGTTGAGGTGCTTGACGTTGGCCCGCAGCCCAGGGAGGTGATGGTTGCTTCTCGCTGCAGCTGTGTTGGGGACGATGTTCACCCTGTCACTCCGAGCTCTCCCTGGGGTCTCAGAGCCTCCTCTCTGTTGTCAGTAGCAGGAATGGCAACCAACATCGAGGGCTGTTGGGTTAGAGTATAATTGACAGATGGTCTTAAAATGTACCTAATCATGGGTTCTGTGTGAGTTTTTACATTATTATTATCATTATTATTTTCCAGTTCTGTGTTAAACTTCAGAGTAGAGTTGCTACATCTGTAATAAATCTGCGTGATTCTTTTGTTTCTATATTTAATTAGTTGAAAGTGAGCGTTACAGAGAGAGCAACATGGGCAACTCCATTTTAATTTATTTTTGTAAAGATGTACATTTATTTGAAAAGGAGTGAAGGAAAGAGGAAGGGGGAAGAGTGAGAAAGAAATCTATTACCTAGTTGCCTCCTCATGTATCCACAACAGCTCGGGCTGGGCCAGGCAAACAGAGCAAAGCAAAAGAGCCCAGTGAACAAGCATCAAGTTAGTGAAGCGATTAGACCGGCAAGTGACCTGTGCTCTGTGTTTGGCCTCTGGTAATCTCCCAAGTTGTAGTGGCAGTGGTGCTGAGGGTGGCTTATAAGTTGGGGTGTGGGTTTTGGTCTCAGAGGCAACACTACCTTTACCGTGTTTATCTGATTTCTTTTCCACCTTTGATCTACACAGGACAGACACGAGTCCCAGCACACGGAGTCTATGGCACTCCATTCAGCCCGGGGGATCAGAGTTGAGGGATGCATTCGAATGTATGAAGAGGTGCACAGAATGAAAGGGACGGTAAGTGAACCCCACGGAGGCCCAGACTTAACCTGAGTCGCTCAGGGCTTAGCGTGGCTGCTGTGTCCTCTAACTGTCCTGTCCCACACCTTGTGCTTCCTGGTCCATTTCAGGGGATAGTATAATGTAGGGATCACGTTCAGGCATGCTGAACTCAGATCTGGTTTCCGATTCTGGTGCTTCTGTGTTAACTGGATCCCGGAATCCAGAACTCAGTCCATGTTAGCAGGGACCCAGGCACCGGAGCCACCACTTGCTGCCTCTCGGTGTGTGTTAGCAGGGAATGGCAAAGGGAGTAGAGGTAGAACCTGAATCTCAGCGCTCTGGGCATTCAGTTGTGCCTGAACCATCGTGCCAGGGTTCACGATACCCTTGCCTCGAGTCAGGTGGCACAAATCTGCCACATTCTGTTTGTCCAGTGATAAATGCCTGCTCAGGATGATCAGTGGAGGGAGTTGGCAGATCTGTGTTCAAGCCATTGCAGCCCAGATGCTTGTCTCCTGACTGTTCTGTTTGACATATTCAGCACATCTTCTTGCTTTTAGCCCCGTGAGGCTGCCTCGTGCCGTAGCTGGCATCTCCCACCCTCCGGCTTCTCTGTTTCCCTGAGGCGTGGTGTGTGTGTGTGTGTTTGTATGTGTGTCTGCTCAACTCTGCGCTCCTAAACAAGCTGCCCATCCTCTAACCTTCTGCTTCCTCATACTCTCTCTGGCTTATCTTTTGCCTTCCCTTATTTATTCATTTATTTTAATTAATTTGTTTGAAAGAGAGAGAGGGTGTGGAGAGATAAAGAATAAGAGACATACCTTCCACCCACTGGTTGACTTCCCAAATGGCTGTAACAGCCAAAAGCTGGGTTAGTCAGGAGCCAGGAGCTTCCTCCAGGTCTCCTGCATGGATACAGCTGCCCAAGTCCTTGAGCTGTCCTCCACTGCTTTCCCAGACTCAATAACAGAGAGCTGGATCAGAAGTGGGGCAGCCAGGCCCGGTGCAGTGGCCTAGGGCTAAAGTCCTCAACCGGGATCCCATGTGGGCACCAGTTCTAATCCCGGCGGCCCCACTTCCCATCCAGATCCCTGTAGTGGCCTGGGAAAGCAGCTGAGGACTCCCCAAAGCCTTGGGACCCTGCACCTGCATGGGTGTGTGAACGTCTTCTCATGCAATAATAAATGAAATACCTGGTTCCTGGAGGTATTTCTTAGTAAGAGGGGGAGAAAAAATAGGCAGAGATAGCAGTGGGAGGAAAGGAGTAAAATTAGGAATTTGCCTGTTGGAATGAGGATTCTGTGGGTCACTGTGGCACCCCCAAATGGACACACAGGCAGGAACCTTGAAAGTGCACATGTGGCTGTTGGGTTTCTGCATTGGTGTGTCTGCCTGCTCCCAGCTCACGTTGGACCGGCAGTGACTAGATTGGAGGAGTTTTCCAGAACAGCTCCAAAGATGGTGTGTTGATTCCATGTCCTTAAGGATCCAGGTGGGAGGGCAGCGGGCAGTGGTGGATTCTGGAACACAGGTGCTGTTCCCTTGCAGGAAGGCCTGAGGCAGTGGCAGGAGGAGCAGGAGAGGAAGGTGCGGGCCCTCTCAGAAATGGCTTGTGAGCAACTGAAGCGCTTTGATGAGCGGAAGGAGCTGAAGCAGCATAAAGAGTTCCAGGACTTACGGGAAGTGATCGAGAAGAGGTGAGTGACCCTGCATGGCGCCTGTGGCTGTGGTGCTGGCAGCCAGAACTGTTCCTGCAGGAATCCCAGGAGAAAGTGCTGGCCTTCTTTTGAATCCTTAAATACCAAAGTAAGAGAAGCTTCAAGTCGGGACAGATGGACAAGTGTGGACAGATGACCAGTGTAACACCGAGCAGGATTTGAGAGATGTGGAAGTTTCCAGAAATCTTCCTGACTACTCTCTCCATTTCTCGTTTAGCACCAGAGAAGCCCTGGGGCACCAGGAGAAACTAAAAGCTGAACATCGTCACAGAGCCAAGGTTTGATCTTGGGAGACGCCGCAGGCTTGAGTGGACAGCCTGCTTGGAGGGCCTGGCCCGTGGCAAGGCCAGGAGCCCACGGAGAGTAACGCAGTGTCCCTCTGTAGATCCTCAACCTGAAGCTGCGCGAGGCCGAGCAGCAGCGCCTGAAGCAGGAGGAGCAGGAGCGGCTGTGGAAGGAGGAAGGCCAGGTGCGCCTGCGCAGTCTCTACGCGCTGCAGGAGGAGGTGCTGCAGCTCAACCAGCAGCTGGACGCCTCGGAGCAGCCCAGGGGCCTGCTCAAGGTCGACCTGGCCGCCTTCCGGACCCGTGGCAACCAGCTCTGCAGCCTTGTGTCCGGAATCATTCGGGCCTCGTCGGAGGTGAGGGGGAGTTAGAGGGACTCTGGGTTTTCCCCTTTGTCAAGACCTTTAAGGCAGTTCACTTTTTAAAAAGGTTATTTATTTGGAAGACAGACTTACAGAGAGAAGAAAAAGCAGAGAGAGGGAGACTGGGAGAAAGATCAGCCTCCCATTTACTGGTCTATTCCCCATGTGACCACAGTGACCCGGGCATGGCCAGGGCTGGGTCAGGCCAATGTCAGGAGGCAGGAGCTTCGTCTGGTCTCCCACATGGGTCAGGGGCCCAAGCACTTGAGCTGTCATTCACTGAATTCCCATGCACAACAGCAGGGAACTGGGCTGGAGGTGGAGAACCCCAGACTCAAGCCTGTGTCAGGCACGAGATTTCCCACTACACCACAATGCCAGTCCTGCTCCTTTGAAGAATGGAATTATTTTAGTCCACATCTGAAAGTTGTACAGCTTTGCACGCTTACTGGCAGTGTCTGGTGCCATTGTCAACATATCCTTGTTGTTGTTTTTATTTTTAAGTTTGAAAGGCAGAGAGATACAGATACTGCATCCGCTAACTTACTCCCCAGATGTCAGAAACAGCTGGTTCTGAGCCACACTGAAAAGAGGATTCAGGAGGAAATTATTTGCAACATACACAGTAGACCACAATTTAATATCCTTGAAACAGAGTTCTTAAAATTTTAAAAAATTGCTTATTTTTATTGGAAAGCAGATTTTTAGAGAGAAAGAGAGAATCTTCCATTTGGTGGTAAATTCAATCCGCAAAATGGCCGGAGCTGAGCCAGGCTGAATGCAGGAGCCGGGGGATCTTCTGGGTCTCCCACATGGGTGCTGCAGCCCAGGGACTTGGGCTGTCATCTGCTTTCCCAGGCCACAAGCAGGGAGATGGATCTGAAGAACAGCCGGGTCACGAGCCAGCGCCCACATGGCATGCCAGCCTTGTAAGCTGAAGATTAGCCTGCTGCTGCGCTGGCCCTAAGAATTTTTATAATTTAGAAAAATAAATAAATTACTGTCACTTTCTACTTCCATCCCACTGATAAGAACAAAATTAGCAAAGGACAGGACGTGCAGCTTTAAAAAGCAAAATTATGTAAGTGCCAATTAAATATGAAAGTAAGTTCAAAGCGTCTATTAATATATGCAGTGCAAATTAAAGCGTTATCACTTTTTTATAGCACATTGTCACAAACTCTACTTTTTTAAAGACTTAATTATTTTACTTTTTTCCTGCTTTTTAATTTATTATTTAAAATTTTTGATTCAGTTCCATAGGCTCTGAAATTTCCCTCCTCTCCTTCCCAGATCCCTTCCCCCCACTGATTACCCCTATGAATATATAATAGTATATATTAATAATTTAAGTATAAATTATTTTACTTAAAAGTTAGAGAGGTCCAGCGTGGTGGCCTAGCAGCTAAAGTCCTCGCTTTGAAAGCGCTATGATCCCTTATGGGTGCTGGTTCTAATCCTGGCAGCTCCGCTTCCTATCCAGCTCCCTGCTTGGGGCCGGGGAAAGCAGTTGAGGACAGCCCAAAGCCTTGGGACCCTGCACCCGCATGGGAGACCTGGAGGACGTTCCTGGCTCCTAGCTTCAGATCAGCACAGCACTGGCCTTTTTGGCCGCTCGGAGAGTGAATTATCAGATGGAAGATCTTCCTTTCTTTCTCTCCTCCTCTCTGTATATCTGATTTTGCAATAAAAAAATAAATAGGGCCCGACGCGGTGGTGCAGTGGTTAAGGTCCTCGCCTAGCACGCCTGGGATCCCATATGGGTGCCGGTTCTAATCCTGGCAGCCCTGCTTCCCATCCAGCTCCCTGCCTCTGGCCCGGGAAAGCAGTCGAGGACGGCCCAAAGCTTTGGGACCCTGCACCCGCGTGGGAGACCCAGAAGAGGCTCCTGGCTTCGGATCGGCATAGTATCGGCCCGTTGCGCTCACTTGGGGAGTGAATCATCAGACGGAAGATCTTCCTCTCTGTATATCCGCCTTTCCAATAAAAAAATAATAAAAATAAATCTTTAAAAAAAATAAATATTTAAAAAATAATAATTATAATAAAAATAAAAGAGCAAGACAAAGTTCTTTTGCTGGCTGGTTTATTCTAAAGAATAATCAAAGGCCAGCAATGGGCCAGGCGGAAGCCAGGAGCCAGAAGCTTCATCTGGATCTCCCATATGGGTAGTGAAGGCCCAAACCACCTTCCAGTGTTTCTCTCAGGCAGTTAGCAGGAAGCCGGATCAGAAATACAGCAGCCAGGTCTGGCATGATGGCTCTGTGACTAAATCCTCGCCTTGCAAGTACTGGAATCCCATATCAGCACTGGTTCATGTCCTGACTAGTCCACGTCCCATCCAGCTTCCTGTTTGTGTCCTTTGAAAGCAATAGAGGATGTCCCAAAACCTTGGGACTCTGCACCCTCATGGGAGAGCCTGAAGAAGCTCCTGGCTCCTGGCTTCGGATCTGCTCAGCTCCACCCATTGTGGCCATTTGGGGAGTGATGGGAGATGGTTCTTGGCTGTTGGTGAGCGCCTAGGAGATGTGGGCTGATATTGCCTTCATGGGGACAGGTAAACCACATTGGCATGTTGCAGTGGGCACTACACTGGCACCACTCTCACTTTAGGGGTTTATTTATGAAGGCATAACGGACTTCACTAGGGCACGTTGGGCCTAAGCACTTAAACTGTGTCCCTGTCCCTCTGCAGAGCGGCTACCCAACCTCAGAGAACCAGGCTGAAGCCGAGCAAGCCCTGCAGGAAATGCGTGACCTCCTTATGACCCTGGGGCAGGAGATTGCCAGAGCCTGTGAAGATAAGAAGCAGCAGGAGGAGAAGGAGGCCCAGGTCAGGCTCCAGGAAGCCCAGAGGCAGCAGGGGCAGGAGGCCCAACAGGAGGCCTCAGCTCCCAGCCAGGGCCTGGCAGACAAGCGGCAGGAAGGTGGGTTTCAGTGCGGGCATCGTCCTATAGCCCAGCATCTCGCTGCTGAGCAGAAAATGAAGTGAGAGTGTACTGAATATGTGTTCGGTGTTCCCTGTGTGTTCCACACAGCTGTAGTTCACGTGAAACCTCACTGCATATTCCCACAGTTTTGGTTTGGTTTGGTTAGGATTGATTTTGTGTATGAAGGGGAGAGTTAGGGTGAGAGAGACAGAGGTGACTTCCTTCAGGCCTTCCACGTGGGTGGCAGGGGCCCAAGGACCCAGGCTGCCTCTGATGGTTTTCACCACATCAGGCACATCGGCAGCCCGCTGCATCAGAGTGGAGCAGCCAGGACTCAACCCTGAGCTCGTAGGGCACGCTGGCCCTGCAGTGACTTGACTCACCATCCCACCACCCCTGCTGCTCTACCACCACGCTGTGGACTAAATAGTCTTCATTCTGGGGTTTTTGGGGTTTTTTGTTTTTGTTTGTTGTTTTTTTTTTTTTTTTTTTTTGGTTGGAAAGGCAGTTATACATAGAAAGGGAGACAGAAAGAGCTTCCATCCCAAAGGGAGACGGAAAGAGCTTCCATCCGCTAGTTCATTTCCCAGGTGGCCACAATCGCCAATGCCAGTGAGGAGCCAGGAGCTTCTTTTGGGTCTCTCATGTGGGTGCAGGTTCTATCTACTGCTTTCCTGGGTCACAATTAGGGAGGTGGATGGGAAGTGGAGAAGTGGAGCAGACAGGACACAAACCAGCGCCCATAAAGGATCCTAGTGTGTGCAAGACAAGGATTTAGCCACTAGGCTATCACACTGGGCTCATAAAGTCCTCGTACTGTATAGTACAGACTCACAGATGATGTAGAGAAGATACTAGAATATGAAAAGTTAAAGCAGAAAAATCATCCAAAGCGAAGGTAGAGCTATAGACTTCAGCATGTGTCCACCTCAGTGAGCCACGCATACCTGCGTTACGACCGGTGCTTGCTACACTTGCAAGCAAGGCTGTGGGACCCCACTGAATCGCTAGCATCTTATAGGACGATGCATAATTTGAAGATCCAAACTGACTTAGTAGGAGGAACTGGAGGCCCCTGTTTTTCCTAAATTAGTTGTTACTACCATTTACATAATTAAGTGGCAATTTAAATTGCCACAGTTTTCTCCCTTTTTGGTGACTCTAAGTCTTCAGGGTGCAAGACATTTCTGGAGTCACAGTGAAGAACATATTACTGCTTATTTTGATTTAGTCATAAGATGTTTTTGAATTTTTAAATGAACATTTTATGTGCAATGTATTCTAATGCTTATATCCTTGTTTTTAAAATGACTCAAACTAGAACAAAACCTCAAAATATATGAAAGTTGGGCCCGGCGCGGTGGCGCAAGTGGTTAAGTCCTCGCCTTGCACGCCCGGGATCCCATATGGGCGCCGGTTCTAATCCCGGCAGCCCCGCTTCCCTTCCAGCTCCCTGCCTGTGGCCTGGGAAAGCAGTCGAGGACGGCCCAAAGCTTTGGGACCCTGCACCCGCGTGGGAGACCCGGAAGAGGCTCCTGGCTTCGGATCGGCATAGTATCGGCCCGTTGCGCTCACTTGGGGAGTGAATCATCGGATGGAAGATCTTCCTCTCTGTCTCTCCTCTCTGTATATCCGCCTTTCCAATGAAAAAATAATAAAAATAAATCTTTAAAAAAAAAATATATATGAAAGTTGTGGCACAGTGGGTTGGGTCACCTCTTAAACATCTGCGTCCCCTTTTGAGTGTCAGTTTGAGTCCCAGCTCTCCTGGTCCAGCTTCCTGCTGCTGTGTCCTGAGAGATGGCAGATGATGGCTTACACTTTTGTGCTCTATGCTGTCAAGGTGAGAGACCAGAGCTCCATGCTCTTGGCTTTGGCCTGGGGCAGCCCTCCCTGTGCAGGCGCCGGAGGTGGAAGCCAGCAAATGCAAATATTTTGCTGCACATGCTCTCTCACTCTCTCTCTTGTTTCTATTTGTTTCACTCTGCCTTTCAGGTAGATGAAAGTAAGTAACCAAACATTTAAAAAAAACAGTGCCTACCTCATGTGAACTATTATGCTATTGACAATACTTCAAGTTTATTTCTTTAATTTTCTGAAAGCAACAGGGAGAATCTTCTGTCTGTTGGCTCACTTGTCAAATGTGTACAACAGCCTGACCACAGCCAGGAGCCAGGAACACTGCTCTCTCATGGGAGTATCAGCGACCCATGCACTTGAGCCACCATTTGCTGCCTCCCAAGGTGCCTGTTAGCAGGAAGCTGTGTTGGAGCTGGTGGCTGGACCTGATCCTAGACACTCCTCCATGTGATGTGGCCCCACCCACTGCCCCCATGCCTGCCTCAGCCCTGTCACTTGGTAACATTAGCTGTTATTAAATCCCTTTTTCCATTCTGCAGCTCTGCAGGTGAAGGTGCAAGACAGTACAATGCAGTGGTACCAGCAGCTGCAGGACGCTTCTGAGCAGTGTGTGAGGGCCTTCGAGGGCCTGACCAGCAGCAAGGACAGCCAGGTATGGCAGGGACGGGCAGGGTCATGCTGGGTCTGCCGGTCTGCCCTGCGGCTTCTCATCCCACAAGAGCATAGTGTTACATCACCATCCCTGAGCCTACGAGGTAGCTGTTCTGCTGTCCCACACGCTGTGTCCGTACTGCTTTGCTCTTTCCTGCAGGCCAAAAAGATCAAGATGAACCTCCAGAAAGCGGCCACCATCCCAGTGAGCCAAATCTCCACCATTGCAGGTAGGTCTGGGATGCTGAAAATATGGTGGATTTTTATTTCCTTATTAAAATAAATTTTATTTTAAAAGCTGAGTTGTGGTGGGGGTGCAGCATGATAGTATAGCAAACTAAGCCTCCTCCTGTAATGCCAGCATGCCATATGGGCACTAGTTCGAGTCCTAGCTGCTCTACTTCCAGTTCAACTCCCTGCTTATGAGCTGGGAAAGCAACAGAGGATGGTGCAAGTCCTTGGGCCCCTGCACTCACATAAGAGACCCAGATGAAGATCCTGGCTTCAGATTGACCCATTTCTTTTTCTTTTTTTTTTTTTTTTTAAGATTTATTTTATTTTTATTGGAAAGGCAGATATACAGAGAGGAAGATCTTCCGTCCGATGATTCACTCCCCAAGTGAGCGCAACGGCTGATGCTATGTTGATCTGAAGCCAGGAGCCTCCCCTGGGTCCCCCACGCGGGTGCAGGGTCCCAAAGCTTTGGGCCGTCCTCGACTGCTCTTCCAGGCCACAGGCAGGGCACTGGACGGGAAGCGGGGCTGCCGGGATTAGAACTGGTGCCCATATGGGATCCTGGGTGTGCAAGGCGAGGACCTTAACCACTGTGCCATCACGCCGGGTCCCAAATTGACTCATTTCTGACCACTGAAGTCATTTGGAGAGCACATCAACAGGGGGAAGATCTTTCTCTGTCTTGGAGTGGAGTCTGGCATCCCTGGAGGAGGTGTAACCTGCTGTTCCATGACATCCACCTGTTTTTTTTCCTTCTTGGGAAATATAACTGGCTTGTTTTCCTTCTGTCCTTTCTCCCTCCCTCCCTTCCTTCTTTTTTAAGATTATTTATTTAATTATTTTATTAGAAAGATTTAAAGAGAGGAGGAAAGACAGAGAGGAAAATCTACCATCTGCTGGTTCACTCCCCAAGTTACCGCAATGACTGGAACTGAGCCGATCCGAAGCCAGGAGCTTCTTGTGGGTCTCCCATGCGGGTGCAGGGTCCCAAGGCCTTGGGCCATCTTCAGCTGCTTTCCCAGGCCACAGGCAGGGAGCTGGAAGGGAAGTGGAGCAGCTGGGATATGAACTGGCACCTATATGGGATCCCAGTGCATGCAAGGCAAGGACCTTAGCCACTAGGCTACCACGTTGGGCCCTATCCTTCCTTTCTTAACCTCGTGTATGACAACACCTACCTGTTTGTTAAGAAATTTAACAGGATTTTCTTTCTTTTTCTTCTTTTTTTATTTCATGCAGTTGAGTATTTTGAGGGATTTCTTTAAATCTGATGAAATCCTTAGATTTTTCTCTTTGCTTGAAAGATAGAGGAGGAGAGCCAGAGAGAGATGTTCTGTCCAGATGAATGCAATAACCAGGAATGGGCCGGTCCAAGGCCAGTAACCAGGAGCCTCTTCCAGGTCGCCATCGCGAGTGCAGGCCCTCAAGAACCTGAGCCATTCTTTGCTGTTTTCCCAAGCACATTAGCGGCTAGCTGGGCCAGCAGTGGAGCAGCTGGGACTAGAACCAGCATCCAGGCAGTGATTTTACTAACACAGCACTAGCCACATAACTGTAAAAGGAAAACAAAACAGAACAAGTCTTGATTCCTCAGGCAGATGATGACACATGGTGGGCAGGCCTTGAGGTGCCCCCATCGCACATCGCACCTGGGTTGGGGCCCCCGATCCACTCCCAATTGCTGCTTCCCACTTGTGTATACCGTGGGAGGCAGCAGCAAATGGCTCTAGTGGGCAAGTCCCCTGTGCCTGGCTTGGAGACCTGAACTGAGTTTCTGGTCCAGGCTTTGGTCTGGCTCAGTGTCGCCACGAAGGCCTTTTGGAAGTAAGCCAAAGATGGAAGACCTCTCTGTCTTCTCTCTCCACCATTTTATTTTTTTAAAAGATTTATTATTTTTTTTAATTGGAAAGTCAGAGAAGGAGAGACAGAGGAAGATTTTCTCTCCTCACATTCTGTCTCCAAGTGGCTACAACAGCAAGAGCTGAGCTGATCTGAAGCCAGCAGCCAGGAGCTTCTAGGTCTCTCATGCGGGTGCAGGTGTCCAAGAACTTGATTCATCCACTGCTGCCTTCCCTGGCCTAAAGGAGGAAGCTGGAAGGAAAAATGGAGCAGCTGGGACTCGTACGGCGCCAACATGAGATTCTGGTCCCCACCACAGGTGGAAGATTAGGTGGTTCCAGCCCAGTGCCAGCCCCTGCCTTTGTGTGCTGTCTGCAGGCTCTGCACTTGAGTGTGGCTGCCTAGCAGCTCTGTTATTCTGCTGTTGGGAAAGAAGCCACCCGTCCAAGGAACAGCTGTTAAGCAGCTTCTCTGTCCCGTGCAGGCTCGAAGCTGAAGGAGATCTTTGACAAGATTCACAGTCTGCTCTCTGGGAAGCCTGTCCAGTCTGGTGGGCACTCCGTGTCCGTGACACTTAGCCCGCAGGGGCTGGACTTTGTCCAGTATAAACTGGCCGAGAAATTTGTGGTGAGGAGACCCTGTCTTTCTGTGGGGGGAGAAGAGGCAGGTGCACAGCATGCTGGCTCTTCTCAGTCTAGGATTGTCTCTGTGTTGCAGAAACAAGGCGAGGAAGAAGTGGCCTCTCATCACGAAGCTGCCTTCCCCATCGCCGTGGTGGCTTCTGGGATCTGGGAGCTCCACCCCAGGGTGGGAGACCTCATCCTTGCCCACCTGCACAAGAAGTGCCCGTACTCTGTCCCTTTCTATCCGGCCTTCAAGGAGGGGATGGCCTTGGAGGACTATCAGAGGTGAGGCGGCTTCCTTCCTCACTTGCTCTGCCATCAGTGCTGAGGGAGATAGGAATGCAGCTGGCAGGTGTCTCCTCCCCCAGTTCCTCTGTCAGAGCCTCATGGTGGATCTGTGGATTTCAATGACAGTCTAGTAGTAAGAACACCAGATCTAGAAGCTGGGGTCTTGAATTTATCCCTCCTTTTCACTTAGTAGCTTTCATGTGACGAGCAAATCCTGTAGACTCTGAGCACATTTCCCTGTTTACCAGCAGTAGTGATTGAACCCCCTGTTTACCTGAGACACCTCCTCACAGGCTTGTGTGACCGGATGCCTTTGGCAGCAGTAGTGTTCCCCCGATGTAATACCACGTGACAGCACATTCTTAATGTCAAGGGCGGTGACATTCTGTTGCTGCTTTCAGGCTTGAAAGGCCATCTGAGTTGTTTGCTCCCACACAGGATGCTTGGCTACCAAGTGAAGGATTCCAAGGTGGAGCAGCAGGACACCTTCCTTAAACGCATGTCTGGCATGATCCGTCTCTATGCAGCCATCATCCAGCTACGCTGGCCATACGGAAACCGACAGCAGGTGAGACGGAAAGGCTGCTGTCTCTGGGAACAGTTTGTACCAGAGCCCATGTGGGCATTTCCACCCATGGGAGACTGCCAGTTTCCACCCAAGGCCCTTTCCAGAGGGACAGGAAGGCCAGAAGTAGCTGTTCAGTTGTTTGTGGAGGAGTGGATGCCCTCTGTTTGGGCTGGCCCTCCTGGAAAGCCTCACCCCTATGGAGTCCACAAGAGGAGAGCCGATCCCGAGTCTTTGGTAGGGTCAAGGTGTGTCTCAGGAAGTTGTCATCCTGGACCTCCTTGACTGAAAGCCATCAGACCACATAGTGTAACTGGCAGAGGGGAGCACATCTGATGGTGACAGCATGCCTGGGCAGGCAGGGCTTAGACCTCCTAGCTCTGCTCCTTTCTTTCTTTTTTATTTATTTAAGATTTATTTATTTCTATTGCAAAGTCAGATATACAGAGAGGAGGAGAGACAGTGATTTTCCATCCAATGATTCACTCCCCAAGCGGCCAAAAAGGCCGGTGCTGCGCTGATCCAAAGCCAGGAGCCAGGAACGCCCTCCAGTTCTTCCACATGGGTGCAGGGTCCTAAGGCTTTGGGCCGTCCTCTACTGCTTTCTCAGGCCACAAGCAGGGAGCTGGATGGGAAGCAGGATCGCTGGGATTAGTACCGGCGCCCATATGGCAAGGACTTTTGCTGCTAGGCCACCACGCCGGGCCCAGCTCTGCTCCTTTTTTGAGGAACAGCGATTGGTAGGGTGGAGAAGCTAAAGAGGGTGAAGACCCTTAGACAAAAAGTAGAGATTGGATTACAGAAGATTGGGGTTTTTTTGTTCGTTTTTCCCCAAATTTTTTTATATAGTGTTTGAAAGGCAGAAAAACGAAGACCTCAGTTCGTTGATTCACTTCCCAAATGACTGTGACAGGGCTGCGCCCAGCTGAAGCCAGTAGCGTCAAGCTCCTCTGGGCATGTCTTGTGTGTTCAGGGAAGGGATCCAAGTGCTTGGGCAGATGCCAGGTGCACACTAGCAGGAAGTGGGAACTGGATGCAGAGCTGGGACGTGAGCCCAGGCGTTCCTCCAGGAGATGTGGGCGTCCCTAGCAGGAGCTCAATGCCTGCCTCTTCCTGTGCATCTGCTGTGTCTCTGGCGCTATGCTAAAGATACCCTGGAGAAGGAATGAATGAAATGTCAGTTTGGATAATTCTTGGCCTGCGGAATCCCTGAAACTGAAGCCAGGACAAGTATATCAGAGGAATCCTGTCAAGAATGGGTGGAAACCAGAGCACTGGAATAGCTAAGACCCACGTCTGTGGGCAGGTGTTGGGCATGGCTGCTGAGATGCCTCGGGGTCACCAGCATCCTGTAGCAGAGTGCCTGGGCTTGAGTCCCAGCTTCCAGCAGCTTGCCCTCAGGGGGTCATCAGGTGACAGCCCAGGTACTTTGGTCTTTGCCACACAAATGAGAGGTGGGGATTGAATTCCTAACAACAGCCTGGCCTAGCCCTAGTTGTTGCAAACAAGTGCGGAGTGAACGAGCAGATGGGGCAGCTCGTTTTTTAATTATTTAAAATCATGTTGAAGAAAAGCTCAGTTTATTTAAAAGACAGAGTTGCGGAGACAGGGAGGGAGGCAAAAGCAAAGAAACCATCCATCCTCTGGCTCACTCCCCAAAATGCTGCCAACAGCCAATGCTGGGCCAGGCCAAAGCCAGGAGCTTCTTCCGATCTCCTAGTGGGTGCAGGGTCCTAAGCACTTGGTCATCTTCCGTTGCTTCTCCAACCCTGTCAGCAGGGAGCTGGATCCTAAGTGGAGCAGCTGGATCTCAAACTAGCACCCCTGTGGGATATGAGTGTCACAAGTGACTGTTTACCTGCTGTATTTCCACACTGGCCCTATTTTGTTTTTATCATTAAAAAAAAAAAAAAAGAAAAAAAAAGTTCTATTTGGGGGATGCTGCTGGTGCCACAGGCTAATTCTCAGCCCTGTGTCATTGCCACTCCATATGGGCACCAGATGTGTCCTCGCTGCTTCACTTCCAGTCGACCTCTTTGTTGATGGCCTGGGAAAAGAGTAGAGGATGGCCCAAGTCCTTGGAATCCTGCACCTGTGTGGGAGACCTTGGAGAAACTCCTGTGTCCTTACTTTGTATCATCTCAGCTCTGGCCATTGTGACCATTTTTTCGGGGAATGAACCAGCAGACGGAACTCCTCTTCTAACTGTCCTTCACTAAAGATAAATATTTTTTAAATAAAGAATAGAGGGGCCTGGCATGGTATCATAGCAGCTAAAGTCCTTGCCTTGTATTCATAGATCCCGTATAGGTGCTGGTTCTAATCCTGGTGGCCTTGCTACCTTTCCAGCTCCCAGCTTGTGGCCTGGGAAAGCAGTCAAGGAAGGACCAAAACGTTGATACCTTATAGCCGTGTGGGGAACCAAAACGAGGCTCCTGGCTTTGGATTGGTACAGCTCCGGCTGTTGTTGCCACTTGTAGAGTGAATCATCAGATGAAAGATTCCGCTCTAGGTAAGGCAGAGAGGAAAATCTTCCGTCCAATGATTCACTCCCCAAGTGAAAGTCAGATAAACAGAGAGGAGGTGAGACTGCTTTCCCAGGCCACAAGCAGGGAGCTGGACAGGAAGCAGGGCTGCCAGGCCTTGTATGGGATCCCGACACATTCAGGCAAGGACTTTTTAGCTGCTAGGCCACTGTGCTGGACCCCCAAAATAAATCTTTAAAAAAAAAAAAGCACCTTTCAGCATGGATGTTCTAGCATTGTGATATAGCAGGTTAAGTCGCCTCTTCAAGGCCAGCATCCCATACGGGTGCCAGTGCTCCACTTTGGATGCAGCTCCCTGCTGATGAGCCTGTGTTCTAGCATTCTGTACCCACGTGTGAGACCCTGATGAAGCTCCTGACTCGCCTGTCCATACACTAGCCACAGTGTTGTGGCCATCTGGGGAGTGACCCAGCTGAGGAAGGATCTCTAGATGTCTCTTTTTTAACTCTGAGTTTCAAAACAAGCAAATAAATCTTATTTATTTGGAGTTTAGGTCTCTGAATAAAATCAGATCCTGACCAGGTGTCTCTCCTTCCAGACTCACCCTCATGGTCTAAATCATGGCTGGCGCTGGTTGGCACAGATCTTGAACATGGAGCCTCTGTCAGACGTGACAGCCACTCTTCTCTTTGACTTCTTGGAGGTATGTGGTTCAGTTGGTCACCATCCGGGCCACCTCTGCCACCTTGGATAGCAGAACTTGGGCCACATTTGCCAGGAAATGAGCGTCTGGTGCCTGTGAGATACTTGCATCCCATATCAGAATCCCCAGGTGTGCGTCCCTCCTATCTCAACTTCTGATTCCAGCTTCAAGTAAAATAAACAAATAAAAATACTGCCATACAGTGGGAGTTTCCCATGTCATACTTTTTTTGCCCTAGTCAAAAGGCACTTCCAGCTTTTTCTCTTTCCTTTCCTTTCCTTCCCTCCCCCTTTCTTCCTCCCTCCCTCCCTTCCTGCCTTCTTTCCTTCCTTTCTGTCTATCTCTCTTTCTTAGATTATTTCTGTTGGAAAGTCAGATCTGCAGAGAGAAGGAAAGACAGAGATGAAGATCTTCCATCTTCTCCTTTATTCCTGAAGTGGCCACAATGGCCGGAGCTGAGCTGATGCAAACCCAGGAGTTTCCTCCAGTTCTGTGTGGGTGCAGGGTCCCAAGACCTTTGCTTTCTTCCACTTGTTTTCCCAGGCCACAGGCAGGGAGCTAGGTGGGAAGTGGAACTGTCAGGACATAAACTGGTACCCATATGGAGTCCCAGCGAGTTCAAGGCATGCATTTATCTGCTAGGTTACCGTGCCAGGCCCAGCTTTTGGTTTTTCTACTCACTCTACTTAGCATCTCTGTGTGAATGTTCTTTTATCACACAGAAAAGAAAGTTGGGAACTAGCGTTGTGGTGTAGCAGGTAGAGTCACCACCTGAAAGGCCAACAGCCCATATGGGCGCCAGTTCATGTCCCAGCTGCTCCACTTCCCATCCAGCTCCCTGCTAATGTGGTTGGGAAAGCAGTGGATGATGGCCCCAGTGCTTGGGCCCCAGCACCACATGGGAGACCCGGAAGAAGCTCCTGCTTCCTTGTTTCAGCCTGGCTCAGACCTGGTTGTTTTGGCGTCTTTGGAGTGAACCAGTAGATAAAAAGTCAGTTTCTCTGTCTGTCACAGGTCAGCACTGAGGAGGAGGTATAGGTTTCTGTTTACAGGAGACACTTCTTAGATAAGAAAGGTTTGTGGGAATGTCTACTACTTTCTGTCTCTGTCCATCTCTTTGTCTTCGACTTCTATCATCAATATATTCCAAAAAGAGGAAAATGCAGTACATTTGGCGTGTAATACCCTAACCCAAAGCCACAGTGCAGAAAAAGTGACCCAGAGCCCCAAGGACATAGGTGATACTCGGTGCACTTTGCTTACTAAGAGGCTGGAAAAAGCTTCCATTTAGTAGCATGAAAGACCAGTCTGTTCAGATCTGGTGGGCCACAATATTTAGAGCAACGTTTCAGAAAGAAACCTGGGTTTCCCACGTACTCCTGGGTTTCTACTTGAGAGGCCTGTGGCTGAAGTTTTCAGCAACAGTGGAAGGCAACGAGCTAGTGCTGCGCAGGTCTCTTGGGGTGTGTGCTGCCATCAGCTCTGACCGTGCCTGCTTTCCCACCAGGTGTGTGGGAACGCCCTCATGAAGCAGTATCAGCTGCAGTTCTGGAAGATGATTCTTGTCATCCGAGATGAGTACTTCCCCAGGTACCGGGCACCCTGAGCCGGCAGCAAAACCGTGAGGCAGTCATCCAAGGCCTTCAGCGAGCTGCTACGTGTTCTGGGCCACTTGATGTGAAAGGAAGAGATTGGGTGGGCATGGTGGTGTAGCAGGCTATTCCTTCCTGTCTGTAATTTCCTGCCTGAGGTACTGGCATCCTCTGTGTGTGCCAGTTTCTGTCCTGGCTGCTCTGCTTCTTATCCAGCTCCCTGCTTGTGGCCTGGGAAAGCAGTGGAAGACGGCCCAGAGCCTTGGGACCCTGCACCATGTGGGAGATCCCAAAGAAGCTCCTGGCTCCTGGCTTCAGCCTGGCCCAGCTCTGGCCATGGTGGCCATTTGGGGAGTAAGCCAGTGAAAACAAGATAACTCACTCTCTAATTCTAATTTTTCAAGTGAAAATTAAAAAATTACTGGAAAGGCAGATATACAGAGATATATTCTGTCTGCTGGTTCACTTCTCAAGTGGCTGCAACAGCCAAAGCTGAGCCAGGAACTTCTTGCAGGTCTCCCACACGGGTACAGAGTCCCAAAGATTTGGGCCATTCTCTACTGCTTTCCTAGGCTACCAGCAGGAAGCTGGATGGAAAGTGGAGCAACTGGGACACAAAGCAGCTCCCATGTGGGGTCCCAGCAGTTTTAAGTTGAGGATTTAGCCACTAGGCCATTGTAATGGGCCTCCTTCCTCTTCTTACTAGAAAAAGATGGGGACTCATTGGGAGGGTGAGAGCATCCTTAGGCAGAAGACATGATTGAGTCACTGATCCCACCCCTGTTCCAGGTCCATGGTGCACCTGCTCCTGCTCCGGCAGGCAGCTGTGCATCCCAGATATGGCTCACTGCTCTGCTTTCTCTTGCTGCAGGATTGAAGCCATCACCAGCTCGGGCCAGATGGGTTCCTTCATTCGCCTCAAGCAGTTCCTCGAGGTAAGAAGACCTTGGACCTGTCCTTGGCCTGGATGCTGCCTGTGTGTAACAAGCCATGGGCCTCCAGATACTGCAGTCCCTGCTCATTCCTCTGAACCCTGCATTCCTTCCCTTGTCCCTCACAGCCTTGGGATTAGGGCTGCCCTGTCACCCTCTGTGCCTTGTTCTCCCATCCCGTGGAGGAGCTGTCCTTAGAGATGAACGCAATGTGTGTGATGGACCCGATCTCTTTGTCACATTCCATGGCGAGTCTGGGGTGCTAGTGTGTGTGGCCATTTTTCCTTCTAAGGACAGACTGCACTTCGGAGCAGCCTCTTCCCTGATTTCTCAGTGGCAAGTGTTCTTAGGTGAATTTTGACAGATAATTTAGAGCTCTGTGGAAGGTCAGCACAGCATCCACTGCCAGGAGCTCAGTTGGGAAGGCAGGGCCGGGGATGATGAGGTGAACCCCTAGGGAGACAGCTGGGCAGGCCTGAACGTGGTGTTTCCCTGCAGGAGCACAGGCAGGCCTTGCGTCCTCCTGGCTTTCCCACCCCGCTGCTCCACGGGACTGAGGCTCGTTGTCTCCTAGTCTCTTCCTGCTGGTGAGTGTCAGATGGCAGCGTCACAAACTTGTTCTGTTCGTCTTTCCTTGACCAGAAATGTCTGCAGCGCAAGGAGATTCCTGTTCCCAAGGGCTTTCTGACCACCTCCTTCTGGCGCTCCTGATGGCTGCAGCACCCTCCACCTCCACTGGTCATGAAGAGGCACTAATAAAGCCAGAAGACAGCAGGCTGGGAAAGTCATTTCCGACAGACACTTGTCAATGTGTGTGTGTGAGTTTGTAGCTTATGACAGGGAGAGGAGAGTCCTTGGGTCACTAGAGCTCGGCTGTCCCTTGGTGCTGCAACAGCTCCCCCTACCTCGCAGGTCAGAGCTGTTGCGCTCGGCCTCTTGGGTTTTCTCCACAAGCCGCGAGGCAGAGGAGTTTAGGATCAAGTTTTTCCCCTTGTATCTTCGACTGTGTTTGTAAAGTTTGTAAGACATAATAGCCATCGCCCTCTGACTTGGGGAGCAACTGCCATGTTCCCCGCCTTCCAGGTGATAAAGAGTTCAGACACGTGCACTACCCCCTGAGGCCCAGGGTGCTTCTCCCAGCTGTGCAGGGAAGGGGCAAGGTGGGCTTGGCCTGAGTCTCCCACCCACTGGACCACCTAGTGTCTGGAAACCCAGGCACCACTGGGAATTTGGTCCCTGCGGATGCTGGAGCCAGGGTGGGTGCTGTATGTTTGGTTTTTCAGTTTGAATGAAGGTGACTGAGATGGGGCTTGTGATGTCAGCAAGTTGACCATCCATGAGCAACAAGTGGGGCTAAATAAAAAAAGAATTGAGTGTTGCCTTAAAATGTATTACTTGTTTTGAGTCACAAATGATGGTTAATTTGCCCAGTGGAGCTGCTGCAGAGGTCCCAAGTCAGCTGCTAAATCAGTAGATGGAAAGTGCCCTGCCTTTGGCCATGACCGAGGCAGTGGCCCTCACTCTGGACCCACGTCTTTGGGGAGGGTGTTGGGGAGAGAGCGTCCACTGGTCCTCACTTGCTGGAAGTGATCAGTTTTGTGAATTGTTGACTGCTGTGCCAAAAAATAGGTAATAAATGTTGCTTTTGTAAACGCACATGATCTGCTTCCTGTACTCGGCACGTGGGTCCTTGGATGGAGAGGGTGCCGTGTCTTTCCCCTTTGTGTTCTGCCCATCACATTGAGAAACTGTTGCTTCTCCCCTTTTTTTACTTTTTTTCAAATTACGTGTGAATAACTCACCCTGTTCTACTATGTCTCTTTAATGTTATGGAGGAGCAAACTCAGGAAGGATTAGGAATGGGGAGCCATGACTCCAGGCACTATTTTTATTATTTCTTTCCCATTTGTTTGCTTTGAATCACGTGCCCTCTGAACCTCAACATCTCCCTCTGCAGAACAAAAAATTTGGCCTTGTCACTGCCAGGTCCTTAGGACCACACCCACCTCAGCCCAGCAAGCTGCTTGTCCCTTAGACCCCCTATCCTCAACCCATGTAATACAAGTGGCCTCACTCTGAGCCAGGACTGACTCAAGGCCAGGATGGTGGCGAGTAGTCCTCACCTGTAAGCTTTTGCCCTGTTCAGAAGGCGTTCCTCAGGCCTGGTAGTATGGCCTAGCGGGTAAAGTCCTTGACTTGAGTGCTCCCAGATCCCATATGGGCACCAGTTGTAATTCTGGCAGCTCCACTTCCCACCCAGCTCCTTGCCTGTGGCCTAGGAAAGCAGTTGAGGACAGTCCAAAGCCTTGGGACCCTGCACCTGCGTGAGAGACCTGGAGGAGCTCCTGGCTTCAGATTGGCTCGGTTCCAGCCATTGCGATCACTTGGGGAGTGAATCATGGGACAGAAAATCTTCCTGTGTCTCTCCTCCTCTGTATATCTGACTTTGCAATAAAAATAAATCTTTTTTTTTTTTTAAGGCATTTCTCCCTTCAGGGCACAGTTGCACAGTGCCCCCGATGCTGGGTCCCTAGGGCTGAGCAGCATTCAATCTGAGGTCACCAAGGGGGCTCTAGCTGAGCCCCAGGACGCTCTGCCCCACCACCCATGCCTTGTATGGTGTACATAGTGTACATGCCAGTGAAGATCCTATGTGGAGAAATTCCTCTGTCAAAATCACATGAGGGCTGGGCACTTGGCCCGCGGGGTAAGACCCTGTCTGGGACACCCAGGTGCCCTAGGAGGCAGCAAGTGCTGGCCCAAGTGCTGGGATCCCTGCCATCCACATGGGAGGCCCAGTACTCAGTAGTTCAGGCTCCTGGCTTCAGTCCTGCCCAGCTTCAGCCATCAATGACCCTTCGGACAGTGAATCAGCAGATGGAGGATTTCTCTTTTTCAATTTTTTTTTTAGTGAAAAATTACTGGCAGGACAGTCCGTATGTGTCACTCGATGGAAAAAGGCCTGAGCACGGCCTGCTCCTAGGCTCAGCACGTGTCATTCAGGGCTGGTGTTCCTGACGGGCTCTCGGTAAACCAAGAAGCGAGAGCACCGGGCGGTCGGGCCTTTGATACTCCCATTGGTATCGCCCCGAGATGGCGATCGCCGGCTGAGAAGGGCAGCTCCTCCGGCTGAGGGCATCGGGTTCCACTCTGCATTCCTTCTTCAGTTCCAGTACTCGCTTGCCGTTCTGCTTCCTCCTCCCAAGTCTGACCTCATTTCTCACACTGAGGCCCACGTGGTTGTCAAGCCTTTGACCTGGCTAAAGTAAACCTGACGATGCATGCCAAACTCCAACAACACATATCTGCTGGACAGAAGACTGGCCTCGTTTTGTAGATTTCTCACGTGGCTCGCAGTATCCATTCTCTCACGTTTTCTGTGGCATCAGGAGCTGGACATCCTCCAACACTGTGCAAGAACCCCAGGGCTTCCTGCAGGGAGCTTACCACTCCCCTCTTCTGTGCCCCATCCAATAGGGTTTTTGTTTTAAGATTAATTTATTTTTATTGAAAAGATTTACAGAGAGAAGGAAAGATCTTCCTTCTGCTGGTTCACTCCCCAAGAGGCTGCAATTGCCAGAGCTGAGCCAATATGAACCCAGGAGCCAGGAGCTTATTCCGGGTCTCATACACAAGACTTTGGGCTCTGCTCCACTGCTTTCCCAGGCCACAAGCAGGGAGTTGGATGGGAAGTGGAGCAGCCGGTTCACAAATGCTCCCATATGGGATCCCGGTGCATGCAAGGTGAGGACTTTAATCACCAGGCTATCGCACTTGGCCCCAGGACACTTTTTTTTTTAAGATTTATTTATTTTTATTACAAAGTCAGATATACAGAGAGGACAGCCAGAGAGGAAAATCTTCCATCCGATGGTTCACGCCCCAAGTGAGCACAACGGCTGGTGCTGTGCCGATCCGAAACCAGGAACCAGGAACCTACTCCAGGTCTCCCACGTGGGTGCAGGGTCCCAAGGCTTTGGGCCATCTTCGACTGCCCTCCCAGGGCACAAGCAGGGAGCTGGATGAGAAGCGGAGCTGCTGGGATTAGAACTGGTGCCCTTATGGGATGGATCCTGGTGCATTAAAGGCAAGGACTTTAGCCACTAGGCCACGCCGCCGGGCCCCCCAGGAAACATTTTTAAAAATTATTTTTAATTGGGCCTGGTGGCGTGGCCTAGCGGCTAAAGTCCTTGCCTTTAATGCACCAGGATCCCATAAGGGCACCAGTTCTAATCCCAGCAGCTCCGCTTCTCATCCAGCTCCCTGCTTGTGCCCTGGGAGGGCAGTCGAAGATGGCCCAAAGCCTTGGGACCCTGCACCCACGTGGGAGACCTAGAAGAAGCTCTGGGCTCCTGGCTTCGGATTGATTCCCTTAGCTCTGGCTGTTGCAGCTCCCTGGGGAGTGAATCAGCAGATGGAATATCTTTCTCTCTGTCTCTCCTCTCTATATCTGACTTTCCAATAAAATATATAAATAAATCTTTTTTTAAAAAAGATTTGTTATTTTGAAAATCGGAATTACATAGAGGGTAGGCAGAATCTTCCCTTCACTGGTTTACTCCCCAGGTGGCAGTATGGCCAGAGCTGGCTGAAATCAGAAGCCTTGAACTCTGTCCGAGTCTCCCACAAGGGTAGCAGGGACCCAGTCAGATAGGCCATCACCTGCTGCCTTCCCAGCTCATTAGCAGGGAGCTGGAGCAGAAGTGGAGCAGCCGGGACTAGAACCACCGACCGTATAGCATGCCGGCATTGCAGTTGATGGTTTAACTTGCAACATCACAACACTGGCTTTCCCAAACTCACATACTTTGATACAGATGGGAACATTACACTTACTAAACTAAATGCCTGGTGCCAAGGTCAGCCATCCTTAATGAGTTTAAGTCCAATGCATCGAGTGCATTCACAGTTATACAACCCTTCCCATCATGCACCTCCAGAAGATTTCCCCCTGGAACTGTCCTGGGGAACACTAACCCCTCTCCCTCATATTCCTCCCCACCAGTCCCTGGCAGCCATTACTCTACCTGCTATTATATCCATCTGAGAAGTCTGGGGATCTCACGCTAAGTGGCCCCATATGGTGACTGGCTTTGTTGCACCTAACAAAGCGGCTTCAAGGTTCTTTCTGTCACTGTGTTGGAGGTCTGTGCTGGGTTCTGCCAGCTATGACGCTGCAGAACATCATTCAGAAAGAGTGACACTGGTGAGTCAGCTCCTTCCCAGGCAGGGAAACTAGAAAAGTGTCTGCCTTTTTGCTCAAGGGCACCAGGAGTGAGCGGGAACTCGGACGGGTACGGGTTATTGGAACCATGAAGGTGCTCTGGGTTAGGTGTCCCCAGAGGGCTGCTGAAGGGAGCTGCCAGTTCAGCCCTACCTGTGCTTCTTAAAGCCCTGCAGCACAGAGCAGGATGCTGCCCTTTGCGGGCCAATGTTTGTTTTTCTTAATGAGTTTATCAGGAAAAAAAAGAGTCATAAACTGCTTTAACTTCTCCTCTTCCCACACCGAGTACAGTGTTAGGCGTTCGCTGCGTGGGCGGGGAGGAGGCAGAGAATGCAAGCCTGGCTCCCTAAGTGTCTCCTTGCAGCCAGGCGCAGCTGAGGGAGCAGGAGCTGGAATGGACCAGGACACTTGGCTGGTTCTCAGATCAGACAAAGGAGCAAGTGAGACTGAGGCTTCCATTTCCACTCGGAGCTGGCTTGCTCCTTTACGCTCCCCTCGCCCACCCATCTCCAAGGCGGCAGGATCCCCAGCACCACCCCCACCACGCATTTCAAAAGGGGATCTGGGTGATGTCCGCAAAGACCTAGTGTGTTTGCTGGGAATGTTGGAGAGCTGGGCTGTGTTAGCCATTTTGTACCCAGAACTAGGCGTGGGCTTCAACATTTTGCTGTATTTGCTGTAGCGACTGCAGTCGTCGGCTGCCTCCAGAAACACACCCCCTGCCCCCCCCGCAGGGGGAGAGACCATCCATGCCTTGGTGTTTGTTTTCTGTTTTTCTGCACAGAAGTTTGCAGGAAATGCCTCCCAGCTCCTACGTTTTTCCTGCAGACTGGGGTGTGGCTGCGTCTTGTCTTTCTTCCGCACCCCCACCCCCACCCCGGCTGCAGAGGCCCGAGGAGCCTGGGCTGGGCCCAGACCAAGTTCTGGTGCAGAGCCCAGCATCTCGAAGCTTCTTTCCAGAGGTCGGCTGCTTGGGGAGGGAGGCCAGGGCCTTCTCTGGCTGCATGGCTGGCTCTGCCTGACTGCACAGGAATGAGCTGGGTGACAGTGGCTGCAGTCCAGCTGTAACCAGCCAGGAAAGGGCCAGGCAGGGCTTTCGGTGAGCAGTCTGAGACCCCCACAGTAAGCAAGCAATTTCAGGGTCCCCACTGTCCAGCACAAGTTCCCCAGTGCTGGCCACCTCACCTGCAGCGTGGGTCCTGTCAAAGAGGCCTCTTCCTCCTGGCCTGCGGTGTGGGCTCAGTGGACCAGTGGCTGGAAGATCTGTCTCTCCCTCTCTCAGGCTCTTTCACAGAAATGAAACCTTTTTAACTAATCTACCTCACAAAATAATTGCAACGGTTAAAAAAAATAAGTGTCACTCAAAATTCTCAGCATGATTCTCTGAGCCCAAGGAAAACTGTGGTGTAAGCACCTTCGTGTCTAGCTTAGAATACAGGACAGGTTCTTGCCCCAAATTAGGCCACCTTTTTCTTTCCTTTTTTTTTTTTTTTTGATCCAAATTTGGCCTTTTCGTCTCACAACTCCCTCTGCTCAAACTGAGACCCCCGAATCACGGTCCCCGGGCAACCTCCCAGGCTGTTTTGGGGGCCCTCATCGCCGGCCTCCTCCC